TGATTATACGTAGCAAGTAATAATCAAGCCCAAACTGTCAACAAATGAAACTCGGAAGAGATCTGATTGCACTGTTTCGGTATAACTCTCACGAGTAAAACACACTAAATTCACAGTGAATGAATATTTCTTTGTATTGCGTATTTAAATATGATAAAATTAAATTATTTTTTGTAATAATTGTTCAATCAAAGCATCATATGAAACTATAACGCACCTTTTTCCTATATGTCAAATTCACATTCCAAAATGAAAGTAAATTGGCACAGCAGATTTGTTTCCCTTTAAGTATTTTCATTGATCCGAGGTTTTCATGTGACCAATGAAAATACTCCATTTGAAAACAATCTGCTGCGCCATTTTACTTTCATTATGGATTGAGAATTTGACATATAACAAAAAAGGTGCGTTATAGTTTCATATGATGCTTTGATTGAGCACGTATAAGCAGCGAAGGTACCAGTGTTGTTTTCTTAAAGTGTATTTATTTATTTAAGATTTGATACCAAGATTGTTAAGATTGGTGAAAAATTGATGAATATATGCGCTGATAATCGAGATGCTAGTGATATTTCTATGCAAAATGAAAGTAGAGTAAAATACCTTTATAATATTTTAGAGTCATACAACTTTTTTCATAGAATTTATTTTTGTCAATACTTATGATGTTTGGATGATGTTTAAGGGTTTTGGGTTGTAGAGGGGGGACGGGGGTATAGTGTAAGTCATGGCCACGCGACGTTCACCTATGTGTACAACTAGTTAGATTTTCAATAACTAGACACAGCGGAATGTTTTGGAATGTTGGCCATTTGGAAACACTTACGATAACCAATTATCGTCACCTTAGTGCAGTAACCAGTTAACCAGTCCTTCTAAATTTGATGTAAGTTAACCAGTTATTGCGCAAAGGTGACGATATATTAGATAATAAGCGAACATGCAATGGAATTCCGCATTATCTAATTCTAGAATTAATTGAAAATCTATTCCGTTTCACACTGTCCAGTAATCAATTATCTGATACGTAATTGACTAGTAATTCAAATATAGTGTGGCTAACTGTAAAGTTTTGTTTTGATAATTTCAATGTGAAATAATCAACAATCACTTGAAAAACAATCTGAGGATCGCTGTTCGCTTGGGTTCAAACCCCGCCAGGGGCAAACCGTTGTTTCCTTGAGCAAAAAACTTTCTACTGGTTCCAGGAACATATTTATCTCATGAAATAAATGTGTATTTGCCATAACATTTTCCCTATGTCTATTACTGCAGTACCACCAAAATCAAATTGAAAGAGTACAAACCACACAATAAAGTAAGGCTAACAGTTCCCTTGAGAACATACAAAATGGACAATTGATGTTTTTTAAAAGTTGAGAAATGTGGGGTTTCGTTATGACTTTGTTCATTATAGATTTGAAGACCTGTTGAGCAAATTTTCAAGATGTCACTGTTAAAGTTTGCTTGTTCACCCGGATAAGCTTGGAAAAACTCAAAATATTCTTAATTCCGAAGTAAGTTCGTGATATCTACTGGGTGTCTCTCCGATCACTTGATTGTTGATAGTGATATCTGACTATAAAGAATGTTTATCACCAATAGAATTATTAATTGATCGATTGATTGATTGATCAATACTAACCCTTGATGCAACAAGGGGAGCAGGGAGCTAACATTCTTGTGACCCCCGTGTTTGCAAACTCAGTTTTATCACAACCTCGGAAAATCACATTAGTTAAACGTTGTCAAAATGAGTTACAAGACATTAATTGAAGATGTTAACACAATTAATTTAAAGGGACATAACTTAAAACATACCAAATAGTACACTCTGTCAGTAAACTAATACTTACTATTTAAGAGTAAACAGAGTCAAATATCTGATTGGGGCATTCATTATTTTTTTTAAAGACAAGTGAAGGAAAAAAAAAAAGGAAATCATATGAAATCAATTCATTTGAGACGTACAAAACATTTACAAAATTTGTCACAGAAACCGCATTTCATAGTTTAAAATTAAAAAATTTTAATAAAGCTGTGAAAACTGTAGTATTAAATTTTTGTCCGTTTTTTGGTCAATGACATTAATACTCTTTAAAATGAACCATAAACGATAGGTTTAAACCTTTTTCACAACCCTTTAAACGGAGGGCATCATTAGAAGCCATTCTGAATTTTAAATCACAAAAATAAAAATGGGATATTTTAAATTATGCCGATTTTCAGAATTCATAGTCTAATGTACAATCTTTCAGGGAGACAACCCTCTTTTTCCCCAAAAAAATCATAGGAAAAATATAAAAGACAAACGAACAAATAACCAAAGTGATTCTTCAAAATCATTAATTAAGAAACATTAACGGTCACCCTTCATGAAATTTCATCCCCCTGTATAAATATATTCAGATGACCATCATTTCAACGGCTCGACAACATTTCTGTATTCCTCACATTCCCACTCTTTATTTTTGATTTTTTCTAATATTCATTGTACAAATAATTGAAAGAGCATCGAAACACGAGGATATTTGTACGAGGGCGTAGCCCCGGAGTATTAATCAGACTGCCGAGTGTTTTGATGTTCTTTCTCTTTTGTATCATTGTCAAACATAAAACACGTTCCCTGTTGTCACAATAAGAAACCCCAGAAAAAAGTAACCAATAAACAAGCATCTGAATATGATATTTCTATCACTTTCCCTTTCTCTGCCGTCACAATAAGTAAATTCCAGCAAAAATGAGCCAATTAATGAGCATTGCCCTGAGAGTGCGGGTAATTAATACCTGCACTTCAGTTAACGCACTGTGCATGTATATGTATACGATTTAACTCTGACACAGTTTTCAACAGAAAAGGTCCAAAACTTTTGACACAATGACACAATTACATTTATTCTTGTATTTGTAAACACTATCATTTCCTCATGCTTCACGTGAGAAATAATATAAAGAAATGATTGTTACGTAAGTTGTAGAATATACATCAGCAATGCCAGCAATCAAAATTCTAAAAAGGTCCGGAACAAAAGACGTGTATAAAAGAGAGTTTACTGATTCGGATATAACAGAAGTATATGAGTTATTTTACACGCCTATATAACGGATAGAAAGCAAAAGTCATTGCAATAGTATTGCTATGCATGCTGCTTAATCAAATTTGTAAATTTGTCTTCTATATTTTCTTTTAAACAATTTAATTGATCGTTCCATAAAATTAAAATCGGCCTTAAGAATTGATAATAATTATAAAACTAATATTTGTGAATCCGATGTCAAGGATGAACAATATTTAAAATACGGTAGACATCTCATTCTACCATTTGTCGTGTCAAATATATTTCATGCTGCTTTTTAAAATATTTTTACTGTAATACTTTCCCCAAATAAATCTAGCATCGGTCATCGTAGCAAATCGGTTGTTTCGGAACGTTATTTTTTCAAAATATTTGACATTAAATTATTTACAATCTTTTCTTACTATGTACTAAATTTCGATTATAAACGGTTATTTTTTTGAATACAGAAGATTGTGAAAAATAACGTTCCGGAAATGACCGATAATTACGACATTGGCCGATGTTAGATTTTTTTTTGTCGGGCAAGCATTACAGTAAGACCACCTTAAGCTAAACCTTTTGATATCAACAAGGAAGATGAGGAGATAGGCGGTGAAAAAGATATTTGTGATAATGATGAATAATTAAATATGAGGGTAATAATTTTTCTATATAATTACTTAAGGATTATGTTTGACAAATCGTGCACTCAAACTGCATACGCAGGTATTTGTTAATGAAGAAAACATACAGTCAAGTGCTATTGTTAAACGTTTGTAATATGCGTGACCTAAAGTTCATGTAAAAAATGCTTACTGTAAAGTTAATAATGAAAACATAGCAGGTGGATGCATAGCGAAACCGATTTCTTTATAACGAAAAGCGATATCACCAAAGCAGAGAGGTATATGCAAAATAACGTAAATGTACCTTCTTGTGCATACACATCTGCAGAAGTCTTTAAATTTGTTATAGGCCTTTCATGAGCGCAAGACCTGTCCTCTGTGTGTAAGCGTAAATGCTGCTAAAACTGACGTTTTTTATTATTTTTGTAGCCAAACTTTCTATGTGTCGATATGCGCCTATGAACGCAAGTGGAAAGTGCTGGTTTATTTCTATGGCCAAAACTGCTGATTTTGTTTGCTTTGGTTCATTTAAGCCAAAACTGATGTTTTGGTAAATTTTGTATAATGTCATTTATGAAATGTATCAAATGATGCCAATGGACTTAAATTTTAAGATGTTTATTGCCTTTACAAAAAGAAACGTTACATTATAAATAAAACCATCTTTTTTTTAAATATTCAAAATATATGAAGTTTTAAAGTGGAAAATGCGTTCATGCAAAATAAATAGGGAATAAAGGAGGGAAATAATGTTGACAACATTTCTATCCTCCATATAGTTCTAAATATCATGAACAAAAAACATTATATTATCAAAATTATTTTGTTTTGTAGAAGAGGTAAAGTAGACACGATATTAATTCCATATATTTTATGTGACTGACTCACTGTGGTATTTCGAGAAGGCGTATCATGAGTATATTTTTTTTGGATAAAAACATACAAAAATAATATCAAGCAAGTTATTCTCTCGTAATGTGAATGCCATTTAGCGAAACTGAATTATTTATCGAGATAGTCAAAGTGATATCGGGATATTCGATGTTTTTATTGTGATAAAAAGGCAACTTAGAATATCAAAATATTGGCGCTGTTTTATCTGGCATATCATTACATCACATTTCCACAAAGGTCGTCATTAAATTATGATGTATCATAACGCGCTAAAAATGAACAAAATTACTTGCATGGCTATACATTTGAGCCTTCAATATGAAATTGATCATTATGACAAGTATTTTATTAATTGCTTTGAAATGTCAAAAACACATATTAACGCCATTGACATTTAAGCATAAACGGTCATATTCTCCAATAAAGTTATGTTGCTCTAGAACTTGCAGGAAGCAGGCAGCAAATTGTCCCGCAGTTTTACAGAAGTTGTAGACGAAAGCATTTGTTTTTATTGTTATGCAACAACTTTAAAAATGTATTGAGTGTTGTGAAATTTATTTTTGTGTTCAGCCAGCATGGCTTTAAAGTGGTTAACCATCTTCATTGTTGTCAGCAATTTAAGTACAGGTGAGTAGTTTCTTTAATTAGGTAGAATGTTTTAATAAATGTACAGTTGTATTACATATTGTACTTTAAATTAGTATCATGGAAGTATTAAAATGATAATTCTTATTACATTTAAATTAGTCTATTAGAGTATCTACATCCCGATTACATTTGTTCCTTGTTTACTAGTATTTACTAACAATATTGTAGATTATCAATAACAAATCTAAAATGATTTTGCTGGAATATGCCTTATTAAGTTTATCATCGCCTAAGGATATTTATCATATGACGCTTAAGTTATTTGGCCCAGATTGCGCAAGCACGGTGCAAGATATATAAGTGATCAAACTACAGGGAAACCAACGCCATTATAATTTGTCTATTTAATATGTCTAAGCATTCCTAGAGAATGAATTTATGATAGCTATAAACGATTGAATTTTATTTCTTTGTATTATTAAATTTGCATTTTTAAATATGATTTTTAAATGTGAAGGCATTTTAAAGGTTAAGATTAACAAAACAATTATACAGAAATGTAAGTAATGAAATACGAAAATGTTTTGTTATCTATGGGAAAATCATTTCCTATCTTAAATATGGCAATAATTAAATATAGCCTAAAGTTTTATTTGTAATGATATAAAATTTTCAATAGAAATAACGGTCTGGAATACTTTTATTTATCAAATTTTACTCATGAAATATGGTGCTATATCAGTCACATATATTTCATACTTTCTTTTTTAAGATAAAAATGAAATATAAATATGAAAGTGGGCGGAGTCAAAACTCATATTTATTTTTAGGGACTTCTTTCGCCATTTTGTTTGAAAAATCTGATAAATACAACAATATTTTTTTGTTGAATTATGTTTTGAGAAATAAAATGGTCAAACTAAGGAAATAAATCCGAACACCAATATCTTCAATTCAGTTATTAACGCTGTACAGACGTTTAAATAGTTGTTTACTTGACGTCATAATGTAGCGCCAAAGATCGCGTGCAAAACAAGACGCAATAATATATTACTACGCGCTGTACACTTGCAGTTGCGTAGCAAGCAATGGGGTGTGTAACCGTTTTTCTTTGATAATGAAATTAAAGAAAAGCCTTAGGGTATTTTTCGTTTTTGGTGAAATATGCTATATATTTTCACTCAACATAATAAAATACCAAATATTTTCACTCGCCGCCCCCGCTCGTAAAATAATATGTGGCATTTTATCATGTTTCGTGATAATATATTTCATATTTCACTCAACGAAAATATATCCTCTTATTATTATATTTATTTTTTTATTTCAATTTGTATTTTGATATTGAGTACTATCTAGAAGCTATCATTTTTAATAAATTAAGTTGGATCGTTCTATTTTTTAAAAGGACTGGTATATAATAATCTAGTTGTACGATTAAACGATTGAAAAGTCCGCTATTTAAAATAAACAGACAAATTCCAGCTTAAGTGTACTAATGCATAACATAATGTGAATAATTAAGAGTGTTCATCATAACGTGATTATTTGGCTGACAAATGCCATATTAGACTGAGGCTGTGACACGAACAAAAAATATCAAGAAGTAGCGCGAAATTCTAAACGCGTCGTTTTATAAACCACTCGGACCAATAAAAACGAAGAATTAAAATCAACATTCAGAGTTAACCTGTTCAAAATGGCTTTCAAAAGTATTACTATGTGTACTGTCGGTTTCATAATGGCTTAGTTTATCAGCCAATCAAAATGTCCGAATCTCATCAAGGCCGACTTTTCTCGTAATGGCCGTGTTTCTTTCGCAATGACGAGATTTCTAGTCACACATTTGTAATGTCGTTGTGAACTTCACACCAGCCTTGCATTGAATGTTTTAAGGCGCCCCAAATTGCACAGAAAATTATTTAAAAGGTGAAAAATAAACATCAGCGGTAATATATCTCACACTGTTTTTCAAGTAGAGCTAGCAAAGAAAAAAATGAAAATAAAAATAAAAATAATAAAGTTACATTATACAGTGCGCCTTAGAAACAAATAATGTTTAAATTCTTTAAGAACGGCAAGAATGAAATTTACAATGTGCGGTTTTGGAGATTGTGATATGTGTGTTACATGAAGAAAGTTGCTATAAATGTGAAATAATGTGTCATAAAAGTAGCAAAATGTGAACAAAGTAGTATTTTGACTTCCATACAAAATACTTATTCACCATAACTGCACTAATTGCCAAAAAGTAACAGCTGAAAAAGAGGTGTTTTGCCAATGTGTAGCTTTTTGGATATTTAACATGTACATTTACATTAAAAAGCTTTTGAGAGATAAAAATAAAATCATATCTTGGTCATAATAGGCCTTTAATAAAATAATATATTTTTCATTAATTTATAATTTTGTTACCATTGTTTTTATAGCTCTCTATTGATATTTCTGGTTTCAGGAATTTTATAAACTCAATTTTTTATAAGCCAAAAGCATTTTGTTAATTCTTTGTTTGTCATATTTCAGTATATCTTCACTCTAAAGTTGTTTATAAACCAACGGAATTTCCATACTCAAGATGCTATGGAAATGATGAAAACAGAGTTACCTGTGAAAAACTAAATATCACTAAAGGTAGGTTGAGTAATTAACTAATAAAAAATGTTATTTAATATGTATAAACATTCCTTTTATTGCATGACAAATGCTTTAGAAGTTTTTCTGCAATATTATATTAACTATTGTACTTATTTAGCGTACTTTTGATACACAATTTGCATTAATAGATCATTTTTGCAGAATCTTTATTCATCTTCATATCGTATCAGCTACTTTGTTTTAATATATCACTTTGTTGAAAAGAATATCAAGTAACTAACTTGCTCATGAAAAAGTGGTAAAATTGTTTTGTTTGTAAAGCACACAATAATACATGTATGTATGGATAGTATCGCTATTAAGACCAATTTGGGGTCCTGGTAAAAGTGGTTTTATAATCGAGTCGGTCTTAATTTGGAGACCTATGCTAACCTTTACTATAATATGTATTCTGGAGAAGGAGGTATTCATTAGCGATCGGAATCATTGAAACGTAACTGTTTGAATAACATAAACCAATAAACATGAATTTAATTCAACAAAATGATGATCAGTTTATTAAAATTATCACATTTATGCATCATTTTATACAGTTAAAAAGACATCTAAAAGACATTTTTAATTTTCGACACTTTTCACAAGAAAATTTCATTTTGATCATTAGTTTAGTTGTTGAGTTCTGGTGATCCATTGCATACTCATTTTTGTTGGATGCATTATTCCCCCTACCCATCTAAGTGCTCATCCTTTTGTTTCAGGATTATCCAGACCTAAAAGTAAAAAAATAAATACGTTTTTTTTTAGTTCAAGTAAAAACGAATCGTATCTGTGATTGTTTCAATCTCTTTTGCCGTTTAAAACTTCATGAATCAACTTCATTTTTGTTCTAAATTAATTATTTTCCGTTCATGGTTCTAAATTTTATTTCAAAAGAAAATTGTTATCAAATTTGCAAAAGCGGTGAAAGTTCTTACTCCGAATTGTAAAATATCTATTTTCATTCAACATAGGCGAAATAAAATATCTATCCGAAAGTGTGTGGTGTTTTAACACATTGGTCGTCTTTCTTTGATACACATCAATCCAAAATAACAAGTAAAAAATTGCTGGGAAATGCAGCAATATGATTGTCACGGCGAAAAAACAACAAAAAAAAAAAAAACCAACCCCCACACAAAAAAAAAAAAAACAAAACAAAAAACAGTTAAATATATTGATAAGGTATCTCCAAATAGCATTGTTTTGAATTGACATGTTAACTTGTTCAGAAGGTTTTAAAATATCATAATCAAGTTACTTGTTACAAGAGCCATGTTTATACATGTATGTAGTAGAGCAGAATAATTATCATTCTTATGTACTGCATACCTCTCGAGTGAGATTTATCCACCTATGAAAGTTCATGTTGATATCTCAAAGGCCTTTGTAGTTATGCTCTGGACAAAATTACATATGAAAAATAACAAAGGGCAATAACTGAAAAATAATGCACGGTAGGTTAAATGTCTTGTGTGCTGCATTCCTCCTCAATGAGATCTATCCACCTAATAAGTTTCAAGTTGATACCTCTAACACCTTTTTGAGATTATTATTATTATCACTATTATTATTATTATTATTATATACCACATTTCTATAGCACTCTTTTCATAAATAATAAATGTTCAAGAGTGCTTTGCATAAATCCGAGAAAACATAATCACATATATATATAAGACATAATGAACAACATTAATTAAGTAAACCTATTAAACAATAATGATAATCTAAAACCAGTAAAGGATGGTAAGAAATACAGACACATTTAGTTTAAAATCAAGGCTCAATTAATAATAATTGAGATAAGCTCCGGACAAAAAGTATGAAAAATAACAAATCGCAATAACTAACAAAATATAAAGGGTATTATTCTTGCGCACAATATTCCTCCCCAATAAGATCTATCCACCTTTAAAGTTTCATGTTGACATTTCAAATACTTTTTCAGAGATATGCTCCACTCAGGTGAAAAATTTAGTATGGAAAATAACAAAGGGCAATAACTCAAAAATTATGAAGGGTAGATTTATTACTCTTTTGCACTTCATATCTCCTGAGTGAGATCTTTCCACCTTTGAAGGTTCATGTAGATATCTCAAAGGCTTTTGTAGTTATACCCTGGACAAAATTAAGTATGAAAAATAACTAAGGGCAATAACTGAAAAATAATGCACGGTTAGTTATCATCCTAGTGTGCTGCACTTCTCATCAAAAAGAGCTATTTACCTATGAAGTTTCAAGTTGTTACCTCTACCACATTTTTAGATATTCTCCGGACAAAAAGTAAGAAAATAACAAATGTCAATAACTCAAAAATTATAAAGGTTAGAGTTATCATTCTTTCGCACAACATTCATCTTCAAAAAGATCTATCTACCTATGAAGATTACATTGACATCTCAAAGTTTGTTTTTTTAGTTAATTTATGCTCCACTCAGGTGAAAAATTAAGTATGAAAAATAACAAAGAGCAATAACTCAGAATTTAGAAATGGTACAGTTATCACTCTTGCATTGCACACCTCCTGAGTGAGATCTATCCACATGAAGTTTCATGTTGATATTCAAAGGCTTTTTTGCTGTGGACAAAGATTGAGTTTGAAGAATAACAAAGGGCGACAATGAAATAAATATGCAGCGTAGAGTTATCATTCTTGTGCACTGCACTTTTCCTAAATATGATTTATCCACAAATGAAGTTTCAAGTTGATATCCACCTATGAAGTTTCAAATTGATACTTTTTTGAGATATGCTCCGGACAAAATTGTAGAGTGACGGACGGAAGGACAGACGGACGGATGGAGACTAATTCTATATCCGTCTTTTCGGCGGGGGGTAATAAACATTACTTGTTCATACTAAAGGAAACTCAGAATTTTGCTCACAAGGGTAACGTGACATGAATTCTGAATGAAGTTTGATGTTGTGGTAAAAACTGATTTAAGGACAAAAATTAAGTTATTTTACAACCTGGTATGGTGAATGTTAATTGTGAAACGCATATAGAAAAACCAAGTCTCATTTTAGAGAATTGCGCAAGAAAAATGAAATTATTAAACAAGAGGGCCCATGATGGCCCTGAGTCGCTCACCAGAAACAACTGTTTTTTCAGTGTTGGAAAATTTTTTTTCAAAAGAACTTGCTGAAAGGCAAGTCCAGCTCTTTCGGCAGTTCAGCTCGATCAACTTTAAACTTGCCCCTTTAGTAATATACTTTCACAACACTGATTGTTTTAGCTTTTTTTCTTCATAATAAACAATAGGACCACTAAGATGGCCCTAGATGAATCATCTAACCCATCATTTCATTATTCACACTATAAAAATTGTAATATTTTGCCCTAATATTTTGGAAAGGATTTGTTAAAATATGTATGTTGCAAGTGTGTTCCTATGAGACTATGTAGAATAAATGCAGAACAACTGACGCACTAGAGCAGGATTAATTTTGATTGGACAATTTTTTTCAAAAACTTTTTTGAATGAAAAAACACAAAAATGTCACATGCAAAACATGTAAGGTGTAGTTGTTTGAAGTTCACAGTTTGGGACAAATTTTTTTTTATACATTCTGTATGGTAACATAACTGTACCTCAAAAAAAGACAATAGGTCAAACATTGTAAAAAAATATGAAAAGTAGGCCAGTTAATATCAAAATTCAATTCAGCATCAGAAATTACACCCCTAGTCCAAATTTCAAGTCTGTATGTCAAGAACACAAGAATGAAAGTCAAATTGTATCAAAAATATCAAAAGTAGGTCAGTTGATCAGAATTTACAAAAATTACACAAATTACACCCATAGTCCAAATTTCAAGTCTGTAAAAGACAAAAAAAGTAGGTAAAGCGATATCAAATATATCAAAAGTAAGCCAGTTCATATCAAAATTCAATTCAGAAACAGAAATTAAACCCCTTGTCCCTTGTTAATTCAACAACAAAAAATGAAAAAATTACAATTTTTTACAAAATTCAATAAGAGAATTGAGCAGATAAACTCATCTTTGACAGTAAAGTACAGGAGAAACAAATTTTATGTTTCTTTAGGCCTATTTTTTTCCTGGTTAATGACCTACAACTGACCTTACAATGATGCAGTAGTCCGAATTCCAGAGCTGAAATATATTAACACATCATAAACAGGTCATGACCCAAGCCAATGAAATTTATGAAATTATTGCTGAAAATGTCTTATTTGGATAAAAGAATGAATATACTATGTACAGGAAACTGCATATGCTATTACAGGCAATGTAAACATGGTCTTTTCTATAAAAAAAAGAAAAAAAAAAGTTTTGTAATGACACTATCATTATATTTATACTGTGACCACGAATAGTGTTAAGAGTTTAAAACATAACATATCTACTTTGCGTGAAGTCAAAACACGTATATTTCATATTTATATTTATAAGGAGACTGTGTATCCATTGTCAATATTTTTTTATATTAATATTAGAGCTTAGAATATCTTTAAACTTAAATATAAAGAAATGCTAGTGCATTTAAGCTTTAGCTTTAACAGTACCAATCAAACTAATATGAGCAAACTTGATTAAAAACTACCCAAGAATGCTACAGACAAAGTTTGGTGATCATCCATCATTTGGTTCTGTAGAAGAAAATGTCTAAAGGTTTTCTATTTTAAGCCCTAGTGACCCCTAAAAGGGGCCAGTCAAATTAATATGAGCAAACTTGATAAAAGACTACCTAAGGATGCTACAGACAAAGTTTGGTGATCATCCATCAATTAGTTCTGTAGAAGAAGAAGTTTAAAGGTATTTCTATTTTTAGCTATAGCAGCCCCTACAAGGGGCCAATCAAATTAATATGAGCAAACTTGATAAAAGACTACCCAAGAATGCTACAGACAAAGTTTGGTGATCATCCATCAATTGGTTCTGTAGAAGAAGATGTCTAAGGTTTTTCTATTTTTAGCCCTAGTGCCAATCAAATTAATATGAGCAAACTTGATAAAAGACTACCTAAGGATGCTACAGACAAAGTTTGGTGATCATCCATCCATTAGTTATGTAGTAGAAGATGTTTAAAGGTTTTTCTATTTTTAGCTCTGCTGAACCCTAAAAGGGGCCAATTGAAATGACATGAGCAAATTTAAGTGTGACTATCACAAGGATGCTTCAGACCAAATTTTAGTTAAATCTGCCCAGCAGTTTCAGAGAAGAAGATGATTGTTGACGCATGGCGACGGACGACGGACGCCGGAGTATCCCCCTTTGATAGTAATAGCTCACCCTGAGCCTTCGGCTCTGGTGAGCTAAAAAAAAAAGACAATTTAAGTTCTTTATTGCAAATATAGAAACTTAGGAATGTAATGTTTAAAGACATTTTACACATGAAAAGATTCACTCCGAGAGAGACATAGATCCGACATGAGAACACATTAGTCAAAATATGTCGTCCCTTCGTGTTTTCGCATTTTCGCATTTTGAGGCGAAGACGCGAAAATATTTGGATGGCGTTAATCAGCCACCATACATAATCCATAGGCGAATTTCTCAAGCATGTCGAAAGGATGTCCGGAAATGTGTTAATATAAAACGCTGATATTTCGTGTGTTGATAAAAATACATGTACTGTTTAGATTCTATATGGTTTTGAAAAAAAAAATGTTTCTATGTAACTTTTCACGGAAATGGGCTGTACAATGATTACGTAAAAACAATAAAATGTCGGCTGTAGAAATCGAAAGGCATTTTGTCACGTGACTTTTGCCCATGCTACCGAAAACTACCCATCACAATATCACGGCGTTGAGACGCCGTGAAATAAATTGAAAGAAACATTGACACAATTAATCACATTCCTTTTAATCACAAACCGCTAATCTTATTGATAATCTCATCTACAGACACTTTAATTGATATTTTAAACATCTCTTCCGTGTACCGTAAATCGGTCACACCTTCATGTCGGTTGTCGTTAATTGTAAAATTATTTGTTGTTTGGAGATAATGAGTGATGTACAAGTTTGCGAGCAGGGTTTATTAGTGGTCGTTTTATTGGATCCCTTTTGTATTGTTAAGTGAGAATTTTAACCTTTAAAAGCGGTCGTAATACGTAGTAACAGGTTGGTCGTTATTTCGGGCCTTACGACCATTGAATTATATAGGCAAAAAATTGGGACCGTACAAAAGCGGTCGTTATATCAAATTGCCCAATATTTAGGGTCGGTCGTAAATCATGACGTTACTGTATAATATAAACATCACAGAACTGACATTTTACTGGGGATGTCTGTACACGTGTATATATAATATAATTATTTCCAAATATTTTCATAAAAAAAAAAAAAAAAAAAAAAAAAAAAAAAAAAAAAAAAAAAACCAAAGCAACAACAACAATGAACAAAACTTTTCTCTTTGAAGTGAGATATAATCTATCTCCACTAACACAAATACATATAATACGTTATATCAAACATTCTACTGATACATGTAACAGCGCATATTTGAACAAAATTAATCAGCTATGTAACACCGCACTTGAGGGCCAAAGGCACTTTGGGGTCCACTTTATCCCAAAGTGCGTTACACAAGTATATATGCCTTTTTAACATCAGACAAGGGACCGCATTTTGGGGTCATAAATATTTGATCAATAAAATTGAAATTTCATGATAACGTTTTGAAGGCCCATTAGGCTTTTTTGTATTTCTCGAAAACTTTAATTTTGTTGTACATCTATAGGTATTCTGCTTTGGCAAAACGTACAATTATAGTGAATTAGCATTTTATATGGAAGGCAAAAAAGTCAAGGAGGAAACTCTTTGTAATAAGATTCCCTTTTTTAAAAAAAGCCTCTGGCAATCGGTTGTTACGGAGCTAAAACACACCTCAAATTTGTTGATAAGCTTAATAGTTTATTTGTAAAGAAAACTAATTGATAGTGCGTTCGAGAAACTTGATATTTCAACAGAATATTGCGATGGAGTATATAGTTCTTTGGAAAAGAACATCAACTGCATTTTATTACATCCATGACATATGTAAAATAGGTTCAATATGGCACCAAAAGTTATCAAGTAAATGGCTGACAGAACAGGATATGTTTCGAAGCATCTTTTATTTTTAGGAAAACATTCACAATTTAGTTACTATATACTTTGTTATATGGATACAATTTTTTTTTAAATATTTCAAAAGGTAAAATTAATTAAACACTAATCACTTAAGCATCAAACACATTTCTATTACTGCTACATCAGAATTAAAATGACACTTAGTAGAAAAATCTGGAAACAAAGTGATCCCTCGGAAGCATTAATCTAAAAAAACTTACATGAAAATTGCAGTTTCGGTTTGATTGAGGATATACATGAGGGATAATGAATAATTGCAACATCCCTCACGTCCCCTAGCACCAGCTTGAGAGGCAAGATTGATTTGTATAAGTATCGACCGTCATCTTGAACTCCAATTCCAATATTTCATGTCGCAGATCGACAATATGTCAGTCCTCAGTATTTAAGCAAAACTCGGTTGATACACTCATAACTCTGGAACCCAAATTGCATTAATATGTAGAATATTTAAACGTTTGAGTCCAAAGTGCGATGCGAATTGTAATGTACTTTGGGATCAGAGCCTAAAGTGCATTAAACCCCAAAGTTCGGTGTTACTCAGCTATTTTTTATTAGTTATACAATATGGAAATAGTTATGGACATTTAAACGTACTAAATGATTCATAATAAATGTGAATTGATTACAATGATTGCATGAACTACTAGGAGGCAAAAAAAGACTCGTTAGTCTTATATCAACACTGACATTTATAAATATCAAAATTTGCAAGTATTAATACCACCAAAATAATCTTGATATATTGCTTTCATTTATTTTATCTCTTTTATCTAATTATCAAATGGGCTATAACAGGTCTCGCTTTACGTATTCTCCTCGGACATTTTTTAGACCTTTCTACTGTCACATATATGTTACAAACTTTAGTCCAACTAAACGGTCTTTACTGGCAAATATATTAACAATACACGCAAACTTAACAAAACTTACCAAACTTTTTAGGCGTTTTTTTAGCGATTTCCGTTTTTCTTCTAATTTTACATATTATTAAGTTTATAAAATTTTTAGGCAAGTAATATGTTTAGTATAAAACAGTTTGAAAGTTATTATAACCAGCCCACAAGAAGCAGGGTTCTATTTTTAATTAACGGTTTAACTGTCGAATCAACTGTCAGAAATCTTTATCAGAAACTTTTATCACAACACAGTTCCTCCTTTCTTGAGGAAAAATGAAACTTACCCTATTAATTTACAGCAGACCTTTCTTTAGATTTTAAAAAACCACTGCGATTTTTCAATGAAAATTGAGGGAACAAACGTACATTAATATCGGTTGGCAAAACTTCCCAATCTTTAAAAGACAACACAATTCTTTTATTCGAGGAAAAATGAAACTTACTTTATAAATTTACAGCAGACTTTTCTTTAGGTTTTATGTAGCCACTGTGATTTTTCAATGAAAATTAACAAAAAAATTTTTTTATTTGGAAACATGACAGGGTTACCATAAATTTACAGAGTTTTGTCTTTAAATTATATAGGGCCCTTTTGATTTCTAAAAAATATATACGTAAAAAATTTTACCAAAAGTTATTTAATTTTTTAAGGGCTTTTTGTTCCTTCATTTTACAAAGGCAAAGAAGGAAAATCTCAATTTTAATACATATCTTATTTAAACTTTGCATGATCAAAGAGAATTATATTGAATTTTTTAATGAAAAACAATTGGAGGCCATTATTCCAGTGTTTTGGTTATCTGTTGCTAAATGTTTTGCTCGGTGAAGGTCTTTTTCAAGAACAGATAACTCGTATCCGCAGAAAACGACACCTTACTTGTTCAGAGCTTACTTCAATCTCCTTCATGGATAAAGATTGCAACATATATCTATATTTGGTTTTGCGAAATAATTGTAGATTTCTTGGAGTTACGCTTCCTTTTTTTAACCAAAATGCAGAAGGTTTACTTCTTGAAGCAAATAAAAATGTATGCTAGATAGAATTCCTTTAAAGCTGCATAAAATAAATATGTAAAAATATTTTGCCGGCGGCTTAAAAAACAAGCATTCTACAATTTCCTTTAATAAAGCAAAATATGATTTGAAATGAAATAAGGTATCCTTATCTATGGTTATATTTTCCTGAAACTGACATAAACATGTAATAACTCACTTTAAGAGGCAGAGAACTCAGAAAGAAAAAAGTGACCCTAATTTTTTTGTCGTGAATCTGTATGAATTATGGCACTCTTTAATCATGCAAAGTGCAAGAACATCTTGTCACTAGTTAAAAAACTATATTTATTTGAACGGAACAGAGACTTCCGCGTTATTTGACTTTTCAGTAATGATATTGTTTATGTTCTCTCACATTCTAAAGGGAAGCGATTTGCGATTTGTTAAATGATTTTTTCATCTCAAAATTAAGCTGAATGGTGTTTAGCTAGAAAAAATATAATCTTTACTTTTTATCTTAATCTTACCCAGTAAATGCTTGTGAATGATTAAACAAAGACATGCATGCGCATAGAAACATTAGAATTGTTGTTATATATGTATGAAGACATTAATTCAAGAAATCATTTCAAAATTGAAATATTTCTGCTGTACCTTTTCTTTTAACAGAAAGACAAGATAAAGAGAGCAAATGGCCACCAGGACCATATGCTGTACCAATGTCAAAGTATGGCTGCCCGGAGTCACAGACTCGGGGTTGGTTTAAAAGCTTTATGAAGGGTAACATGACAGGATTAAGTAACGATTCTGAAAGTAACTTCGAAGTATCGGACTACTTCAAGACGCCATTTCGAACAAAAACATTTTCGCTATATTTTTGTGTGAAATTCCGAAATGATTCCACACTTGATACGGAACAATGGATTCCAGGGAATTACAGTATTTATAAGATCGGACCGTCGTGTCCTAAAGGTATGTATTAGTTCTCGAACAATAATATAGGATGTTATTGGTGGTGGTCATGCTAAAGATTTTGTACGTTCAAATATCACTTTCAACACTGCAATATTCCAAATATTTGTTTGTGTACATTTTTCCCTCTCTCCAATTGTTATCTAATCATTTATTTTTCAATAACACCATTTACTTTATAATTCACCAATATGGCAATAAGCTGATATTATTTCTCCTTTTAACGTCCAATAAACACACACATATATTTATATCTTTATATTTCTAGAATTTGAGGACTCCAACAGAACACTTCCTGTAACTGATGTTGTGTTGTCTGGTCATGTTCCAAATGTTGAAGTACTAGAAGGTACGGTGTGTGTGTGCGCGCGTACGCACGCGTGTATGCGTGCGTGATGCAATTAATTGTTGATTAATTTAAGCAATATTTGTTTCAAAGTGTCCCTTCAAACATAAGCTATTAATATCATGTGTACGGAAAGAGCGGACACCTAACGAAAAAAAGTAGCTTAAATACAGTTGATTTTCTGTCTTTTTATATGGCATCACACCTTGGTAGATCTTTTAGTGAAAAGAGGATTTGGTAGGGTGTCAATTATAATCGCTTTGACCACAAAATAATTGCTGTGTTCACTGTTTTTAGTTTAACTTTGCTTTCGACATACATGTATGTTAATTCTTAATGGCTAAGAATATATACAGTAAAAAATAATCTGTTTCATTTAAGGGCAATCGGAAGAGTTCATCAACATTTCAACGTGTATAAGAAATATTGTTAACAACACGGAAGACATTCAGTCGAATGTAACATTCAAAATGTTGGAAACTGACTTCATTCTTGAAAAGGCAAGCTTTCTTTCTGATTGTATTATCTCTAATATTGAGAAATAAATTTAATGTTAAAGAAACTAAATTAATATAAAAGCTAATCGACTTAACTGAAATTTTGGCATTGTTGAGAAAGCAAGTGTAAGCAACATGGTCTAGTGAATACCTACTGTAAAATTTGTTCACTCCATCTTGAAATAAACAAGAGTACAATGAAATCTTAGTCGTAAAGTAAAATGTACAATGGTGTCATGTACATGTATTTAATGATGCATTTGTTTGTTTGAATTTTAACTTAACACATACTATTTGGTCGTAATCTCTATGGTCGGTCCAAGTAACAGGGTTCCCAGGATAACTGACCGGTATTTACTTAAATTCTTCCCCGGAAATAATCGACTGCTTACTACACAAGAGATCTGAACCCGTGCTGAGATACAAATGAACATTAGACTCAATAACACGGAAAATTTCACCTTGCCCACGAAGCGACCCCAAATCCATTGTTTTCCCTTTTGAGCTTAGCATGCCGTCTCACTTGACATAGATCTTGTTATCTTGTTTGTATTAATTGAAAACAAATGTTCGATTACATTATGCGTACTACTTCATTATGACAGGACCCAGAGGCAAATTGCTCCCAGTTTAACGTATCTACAGTGATTCCGGGACAAACACATTGTTTTTACAACCCAAAAGGTATGTTTATTCAAAGATGTAGTTTCAACAGAAGCAATAGATCATGTCATAGGCACTTTGAGACGTTGCATGTAATTACTTTTTGATATTCTTAACAATTTACTTGTATTTTGTTCATGAGTATTAAGTATTCTATCACTTTTGTGCTGAAATAAGAGTCAAGAGTCTGTATTTTCGCAATAAAAAATGTCCATTAAAATGTGTAGTCTTTTTTAGCATATCTTATGCCTGATCACTATATTTCTATATTAGAAGATGTAATAATATTAATCATAATTAAAGTAACATAAAAACTTTAAAAAGCGGTGTAGGCTTAAAAGCAATTCTATTAATAAGTGCACTATAAGTGATAAATTAATGGTTGGAAGTTTTATACTATGGACAAAATATATCTTATACTAGCATTCCAAATCAGTTGTTACCTGGTTAGAAAGTGTCTGCGATAAAGTTACAAAAGTTTATTTTATTGTCTTCAGTCCAGCAATTTAATTACCGACAGGCAACAGGTAGGACTCAATAATATTTTTTGATCTTTTATAAAAGTGAATCCGGTACGAAGTACAATATAATTTTGACAATTAGATAAAATGTTTTGCATACTACTCAGCTCTTAATGATTTATCAATTTGCTTATCAAAGCTCTCTTTCTTTCTTATCATAGCACATCAATTAAAATAGTTTTATCAAAATTAATTATTCATAAAGTATTAAGTGGCTTGCTACATGCCAGTAAGCGTATCATTTAGTAACACCTAAAACAGAATAAAATCAAACAAAAAATGATGTACCAAAGCAACTACAAAATCCAATGTTGTTTGTGAAAAAAATATAATAACAAAGTTAAGTTAAATTTTCTTTAAATGGCAATATATACATTTATGATAAAAGTTAAAATTTGCTTTTTGTAAAACAAGTATGAGTATGTTTCGTTTCTGAACTTCAGAGTTGATTCTTCAACAACAATATCTCTCCAAATTTCATCAAGGTAAGAATTGATATTGATATCATGTCTTGAAGATGTGCATAAAACACATTTACAAGCTATTAAAATGCCTTCAGCTTTTGTCTTCTGTTGGAAAATCAATTTTGTGTTGTTTCAAAATAAGTAATTCAGTTATTTTATTTCGGAAAAGTGATATTTTCAATGTTAAACCTTCTTCAGAACAGCGTACTAAGAGATATTTATAACGCGCCTCTTAGAATAGAAGATCGGAAAACAAATCGTCCGGGAGGGCCGGTAGATTAGAGGTATCGAGGGGTTTCCTTAATGTAGATTGCCGTTGGCAAATTTAATTTTTCACCTTAATACTTTTGATTTGACAATTATATGAAACGATTTATCCAAAAATAACATTTTAACCTGTAGAAAAGCTGAAGGCCGCTTTCTTTCTTCAATATTTTGCAAACTATTACTAGCTCTAAGATAGGGCAATGTATAGCTTTTACGCTATTATAAGGGTACAACATTTGTTAGCATATTCGTCCAAATTGAAAATAGAAAACTGAATGGTAATTTGAATATCATATACGTGTAATTTGTTTTTATTTTAGAGACTGATTTTGAATTGTTCTTCATTGACTGTCAACATTCATTTGAGGTCGTTATGATTGAAGTCACTGCTTCAAGTTTAGTAAGTATACTGGTGTCACAAAAAATTTCTTATTCAACTGAAATTGCATTTATTTTGTCAGGCATTTTTCAAATAATTTGTCCACATGCTGTAGGTTATGATGTTTTACAAGAACGTCTTCCTGAATTCGTATTAAATATCCAATACGATATGCGTCTTGCTCAGAGCTATCTAATTACAGTAGTGAAAATAAAACAAAATATGCCTTATGCAACCGAAAATTAAAGCTATTTTAAATTCGCTGACCATATACTGTAAGTAATGATGCTTTACAAGAACGTCTTCCTTAATTTGTATTGTTACTGCCCAATAAGATATACGCCTTGATTCAATCTGGTAATTTGTCATTTCATACCAGTGAAAATAAAACAATTTGTAAAGCAATAGGCTTGTTGTTTTTTTCGATTGCATTTGTATTTTCAAATATTCTATTGCTGGTCGGCTCTTTAAAGTACGAGACTTAAAAGGTGTTGGATCTGGCGTTTGCTAAAGAGAAATGTTTTCTTGCAGGAAAATAAGTATTTCAAATGTTTTGTCAATGATGCACCATGGAATTTACAGGAATCACCACTTTGTAACATTGAAAACGGTACTCTTCCTGGAATAATATATCTAAGGTAATGAACGTATACATTTATATAGAGGATATTTGTTTAGTTCAGTGTAAGATCGGAATATATTTCACCGAGTGAGCACCAAAAGGTATATTTCACGAGTGGCGCCGCCACGAGTGAAATGTGAACTTTTGGTGTTCACAAGGTGAAATATATTTCGATCTTACACTAAACGAAACAAATTTTCTTTTTATTATATGCAAAGACACGTTTTAAAGAGACATTAAACCTAATACTGAATGAAAAGAGCGCCAAATAATAACACAACGTGACGTCATTTACGACGTCACGTCATCAAGTTGGTTCCCAGTACTGTGCACGCTGGTATTTCACTGAAACAACGTAAGGGGCTTAAATTCAAAACAGTGAAATTACCAAAATGATAATTTCACTGCTTAAAACGGTGAAATTACCAGTTTTATATCACTGATATATTTCTATAAACCACCGTAAAGCATGTAATAAATTTATCTAATAAGTTATAGTATCTATATGCCATCGTTTGAAAATGATATACTGCAGACATTTATACATGATTTTCTTCATTTACGTATTAAAATTTAATTTAATGACAATTTGTTATTTTTTTAAAAAATTGGTTTTAACCCGAAATTAAATACATGGCAATTTAACTTTGTCGTTGATAAATGCTATTTTTATTGAAAATAATTAACCTTTTCCAAAAGTTAAAAGTCCCCACGATTTTACTTTGATCATAAAACTTAGAATTTTTCACAAACACCGTGTTTTAAAAAAATATGACAAAAGATGTATGAAAGTAAAATTGAGTTGTTTTTTCTTTAATTTTTTAATCAAAAAATAAACAAAATAAATCTTGGGCAAAGCAAAAATTTAATTTTGTTTTATTTTTTATTTTAAAAAGGATATTCTAAAAAAAATTTTAAGTTCAGTAGAAAAAGCAAATCAACTAAATAATTGTTAATTTAGATAATAAAATCTTGAATGATCATTTTGCAGGAGAACACGTGGTCGGTTTTTCCAAAATTTGCTTTTAAAAAAAAACAAAAACCCTTTAAAACATTCATTTAAGGTTACATATCGGGGTATGGGAAAAACCCGTAGTACAATGTATTTAAAAAAAAGGGGAAAAATTTTTATAATTAAAAGATTTATTAAGGGTGACTGACCTTTAAAAAAATGAAAAAATAAAACAATACAAAAAAAAATTTAAAAAATGAAAAAAAAACGTTATTGTTTAAATTCGGGAACAAAAACAATTATGGAAATTTCTTTTTTGGCCACGAGGGAAAATTGTTTTCTTTTTTACCCCCGGGGTTAAAAATGTAAAATAAAATCACAAATGTGGTAAAATTTTTCTGTTATTTTTAAATTTTTACTTGTTTCACTTCCCATTTGCATTTTTGTTTAAAACCTTTGATTTTTGGAAAATATATTCCATATCCCTTTTTTAATAATAAGTTTTTGGTATGATAATATATTGTATAGTTTCAGTGGAAATATTTTTTGAACTTGTTAACTGAATGAATGTTTGGTTCTTTTCAGTTTGTATTCAATTTTGGAAATAAGAGATCCATATTTTTTTTTGTCTTTTTAACATAATATAATTATGTAAGTCATGCATTTCTTTTGATGACTATTTCTAATATTTCATCTTTTCATACTTGCAGACAACGACGAGCTATGCTTTGACAGTATTGAAATAAACGACAAACTAGCACCAGGCAGTCAGATTGCTGTTTCTTCTGCGCACCCAAGACAAATACCTTCAAATACCAAGTACATAGTAACTGGTTGGATTCATGACACTACAGACCTGACACCTTGGATTTTGGTATGCCAAGTTCATTTTAAATAACTTACTTTTAAAGAAGGGCCCTTTTAAAAAGGGGGTTTAATATTTTTTTTCTCGACTTTTTTCAAAAAAAGGGGGAAAGGGCTTTTGTGACAAAAGGGAATAGGGCTTGGGCCGTCAATTTTGGGTTCCATTTTTTTAACGGCAAATGGGCTCGCAAAAAGATTTGGGCACTTAACAACTTAAAAACAAGGCTTTAATATATGTTTTTTTTAAAGGGCCCTTTTAAAACTCTCAAATAAATTTTTTTGAAAATAATTATAAACCCTTTTTTTAGCCCTTTTTCCCAAATTTTTCATTATCCAGGTTTTTATTTATCTATCAAGCAGAAAATAGTCAAAGCACGTTTGGAAATTCCCCGAAAACTTTTTTAGGTGTTTTTTTTGTATTCTTCTTAAAACTTTTTAAACCCTAGGGCGTGACTAGGGTTTTGTTTTGTCAAAAATAAAAGTAAAAAAACCCTATTGTTAAAAAATGAAAAAAAACCCGTTTACAAAATTCGTTGCTGATTTTTTTTTGGTTTCCCTTCACTGGGGTTGATTTGATTATCTTTGCCCGAAATAAAAGGTTTTGGGGTATTTATTTCCCCAACAATTGTGACATGGGGCCCATTTTTCAGTTTACTTTTTTTGCAGGAAAAGGATCAACTAAAAGAATCCCAGATTTTGGAAATTGTCACTGTATATCATATGTGAGAAGCACCATGACAAAACCAACATAGAGCATTTGCAACCAGGATGGATCCAAACCATATTTTAAAATCATTTTTAAATATTTTTTTATATTTTATTTTTAGAAACAATACTAGTAATAAACTGTCTGTATTGTTATTACTTATTTTGTCCCAAAATCTTTTCTTTTGTAAATCAGCAATTTTTTACATTTCTATCGATTATGCTGGACATTATATTAAATATCATTACAAAACTATTTCCCGCTTAAATTGAATGTTTCAGTAGATTAGTATTACTGCCGTTAAAACAAAGCAGTATATTGATGCTATTTTCAAATTGATTTGTGGTTGGGTCTGTTATTCTTCAATAAGTGATTGAAATGATAAAAGTGCTGCACGAAACTTTATGTCTCTTATAAAATTACAATAAATATATTGATTTATCATCTTACTAAATACTACTGAAATATTATAAGTTTAAGTTACTCTTGTGCTATTTTTGATTTAAAAAAAAATCTATTTATTCCGGGCGAAACTAAATGAATCAACCGTTTTTTTTTAATTATAACTAATTGCAATTGTCCAAAGTGATGTTTTATTTGCACTGTTTAAATTGACTACTTACATTAGATTTACTTGTGATTCATTATTTCAGGAGTTTAGGATATTTCCACCTGAAAATTGGTGGAATATAGATCAAGTGTTTGTACTTCCGAGACCAATCAAAACAAGATACGTAAAATTCAGTGATTCATTTGAAAAGCCAGTTAACCAATCTAGATGTCTTATTTTCAAATTGTTTGGCTGTAAATTGACACGTAAGTAGACAATGCATACTTCTCTACGTGACTTTGAATTACCAGATTAGTGGATTACAATATGAATTTCTCCACGCAAGTTGTCTTAATAAAAGAACACATGTCAATGCTTGTGATAAAATCTATTGTTATAGAAATAAAATGTCAGAGTTGGGGTCTATGCAGTTTTTTACCATTGATTGATTGTACACTATCAAATACGGCAATCATGTACGTTTACTGTAGTTGAAACCTCTTTAGTTACGTTTGAAAATATGACAATGACAAACAAGATCTACAGGGGAGGGGGCGTTCAATGAACGCAACTCCGACACGAAATTAACAACACCAAAAAACACCTGCAAAGGGGCCCGCAGGGCCCCAAAACCAAAAAAAGGACAGGGGGCCCGGGCCCAAACACCGGGTGTATGGGTTTTCTTTTAAAGATACATAAAAGGAAAAAAATATACTAAAAGGAAAAAAAAAAAGGGTATGGAAAATTTAAAAAAAAAACTTTTTATTTACCAAAAAAAATACAAAGCCCTTTAATTTTGAAAAAGTAAGGGTCAATTATCAAAAACCTTTTTTTAAAATTTAAATTTTTTATCAAATTGGGTTTTTAAATGAGAAAGGATATATATTTCTTCCCCTGGGGAAAAAAGGGGATCACTGAATCAAACAAACGGGAGCTCATCTGACATGGTACCCCTTGATCCAAAAAATTGCGGGCAGGAGAAAACGGGCTTTGGTTTGATGAAGATTTTTGGGTTTAGGAAAGTAACCCCGCTGTTTTTAGTTCAAATACCCCCGTTTTAGAGTTGCCCCGGGTTTTAAAAGAGGACAGAATTTTTCTTATTTCTAAAAATGGGGAAATCCCTCTTTTTGGAATAATGAAAAAGGGGCTAAGTTAACGAACGGCAGTCATGGTTTGCTAAAAACCCAAAACAGAGGTACGAGTACAAAAAACATATCAGCATAAAAAACAGTAATTGTCCCATGCATCGGTTTTGATATTATTGAAAAAATGTATAGTTTGAAACAAAAAACCTGCAGACATTAAAATTTGCTGTGGGCTGTATTTATTACTTTCGTAAATTTTCATTATGAATGGCCCATTAATTTTGTCACTGATCAAAAAAAGTAAAACAAACCGTTTTTTAACTTGCGAAAAAAACCCCTGGGTAAAAAAAAGTCCCCATGAAAATGGGTTTAAAAAAGGGGTAGCCGACCACCCGGACTCGAAAAAAGAGAACCCCTTTAAATTTTCGTTTTTTTTTTTATTTAAATAAATAATGGGGGAAATTTTTATTTTGGGAAAAGGGTTTTTGTTCCAAAATTTTTTTTTTCTAGATAAGTTTTGTTTTCTTTTTACACGCAGTAATATGGCTCGTTGCCGAAAAGCCAAAAAAAAGAGATAAAATTTGTATTTTTTGGGAAACGTACAATATTTTTGAAAACCCGACTCTACTTTTAAACCCTTTACTCAGTTTTCCCCCTTTAGTGACCCTTTTTTGGGCAATTTTAATACAATGGGGTTGACAGTTTTAAAACACGTCAGTTTGGGCCCAAAATTTATTTTTTTCAAAAAGTATCTTTTTTAGAGGACGTTTTCATTACCTGATCATTATAAATTGTAAAAAAACAAAACAAATCAAACAACGTTTTTCATGTTCGTTTATCTTTTCCGTTATACTGTTTCCAGTGTAATTTTTATGTTTAATATTTAATTTATTTCTTGAATTCTTTTTTGGTATGAGCGACGAAATATATATATCAAATAAAAAGATACATACATGATTTTTTATCCGATTCAATTTGTTGCTTACTCCAAAAATTGACCTCTGCAACCTTCTCAATTAACGCTTCATCATATTGTTTTCCAGATCAAAATTGAGACGGTGTTTCTCTGGTGAAATACTTCTTATTATGTTTTAGAGTTGCGATTTTCCTACAGAAGCCGTTGCCAGGGGCCTTTGATGGTACTTTGCACTCAATAATACTGTCTATGAATTGGCCCAATCAAACCGAGCCTGCAACATTATCAAATTTGCCATTTGTTTTGGGAGTTCTTATAGTATTTTTATTTTCACTATTTTATTTGTATTTTCAGTGTGCACTCGTTATTAAAACATCACAAGAGGACAAGAAAGGTTTTATCATTGATGACAATTTCAACGATGAAGTTTTTGTAATAGAAACAGACAAAAGCCTGTTGTTTATAACAACTAATCCCCAAACTATATGGTCACCAATAATCAAATTCCGAGCTATTGTTACTGCGGAAGGTAAATGTACCGGTAATTTTATATCTTCTGTTTGAATCAACATGGAATAATACAGTTTTACTTAGTTGTTGTGATACTGTAACGTGTTTTATAATAAATCTTTACGATGTTGTTCAAATGGACAAACCCATCAGACTCTGTTTACTGTCCACCTGAAATAATTTTTTTTACTTCGAAAGAAATATTGAATAAATAACAAAATGGCATAGAACAAACTACTACAATATTAATACAATGATGTCTTAGCTTGATAAACATTGCCATAAATTGTGTTTTTTTAAAGTAGAAGATTGGAGCTTCAGGTAACTTTCGAACTACCAAATTATTATAGGTTACTTACCTCCATTTCGATGTATTGACAGCAATTATTATTAGTCTTTCTCTTAATCTAAGTCGATTCCTCCTGTCTATTATGATTAAATACTCTGTGAAATGTTAAAGCGTAACATTGCCAATTTCGGTTTACGTTTCAGATACTCCAGCATGTTTGTCTCTCGATTTACTTGGACCTTCTAAAATAAGACATGAAATTTGCAGGGAACCAAGTATGATCCTTACATCCCTTTCTACTTTAAATTTGTTTCACGATTTTGAAGAAACGTTTACAATTCAAGCCAGACAACATCAAAGCATTGATATTATTTTCATCCATTTTCACGTGCACTGTTACTCCGAACCTGAAAATAGTAAGTCAGTTATAGACTTTACTCTATTTTTCAATATATGAAATGAACTGTTATATACTTTTAACATTCTAACAATGATAAAATGGCTATCAAATACAACAATATAACAAGAAAGAAGATATTTATTTTCTTAAAATACCTGTCAACTCATTATCTAGCAACGAGACCATTATGTGTCGGATATTTATTGCAATGCTACTCCGATATAACAGCCCAGAGGAAAAAAATGTGTTAAATATTCAGGGACTATTAATATTGTCTTCCATAAAAGAGCTTTCCTTACTTTTTGACCGCCTGCAGACGACTAAGTCAACCTTTGAAGCCCCTTTAAACAAGAAAGAGTAATCAGGAATAATACGAAAAGTACACTCGTATCTGGAATAGTGACTATTTTTCTATTCAATGTGTAATGTACTATACATGTATTATGTTTATATTCTTCAAACCATCTAATATTTGCTGATAACAATCGCAACTTTTCGGCCCTTTCTTTCAGTCTTCGGACACAATAGTATCAATACACCGAACGGATACGGTATTTCGGTCTAACCTACGCTAAACACTAAACATGTAAACAAATGTCCAACTAAAATGAATAAATTCATAGATATAAAACTAAACAATACATTATTCATATGCTTATAATTATCGTTGTAGAAGCCAAAAGTACAAAATCCAATCCTTTTGACATTTTGTCGGATTTATTTAAGATTGTGCATAAGTGGTCATATTCAAATTAAAAATGGTTGTCAAACATATTTTCAATCATTATTGTACCAAACAGAATTTATAAACTTTTGGATGCCAAATATATACATTGATTTTACATTATCAAAGATTACACTCTTTGTTTCTGTTACATCTGAAACCACGTGGTAGTACTACTTTCAATCCGTATTTACTCCGAGGTTATATTTCATAATAGCCGTATATGTTCCGATTGTGCTGATAATTCTGTACTGTGTTACACATAAAAAATCTTTTATTACATTTAAATAGGTCATTGGGTTTCACGATTCGCAATCAAAGATGTTTTTGGAGAGAACAAATTTTGCTCTCATAATTTACCACCAGAGACATACAAATCAAAAGGTTCAATAATTCAAATTGACTTTCAACTACAATCTTTTTTGTGGACTCAAAGCGTTGATAAAACTGAAGGATTTCGACTACATTATCAATTAACTAACCACTATCTTGAAAGGTATACTACTGACGTTAAAGGCTCTAAATCAACAGGTATGTATGGTGATAAATTTATGACGTATCGATTGCTTGATATTAGGATATCAAACTATTGTTTTAAGTGTATAGAACCATTTAACTCTAGTACAATCACAAAAATATAAGCGTTTATTCAAAGTTCTTCATGTAGGTCTAATCATTGAAATAGCTCCTTTGCAATATCGTTGTACAGTTTGTGAAAAGGTGCCAACGAAATTGTACAGGTAAATATCTAATAATTTAAAAAAAAAATAAAAACTAGTTATGAATTATTTAAATGGAACATGTTTTTATGTTTAAGCCTGTTCAAAGTTTTTCCAAAAATGTTACACTGTAATCTCTGAGGAGGTTTCTTGGGATACCGCTAATACTAATTGTCGTGAGCGCAATGGACATCTTGTAACTATAGCATCAAGAACAGAAATGAAATACATCCAATACTTACTTCGACATCAGTTATATAATAAGAAGAATACAACGCTCAAGGACAAAGTGGACAAACAAGAAGTATTTGGGGCTCATATTGGTAACTCTTTTCGTTCTAAAATTTGATGTGTTTTGAATAGCTTAACTTTTTTTTCAAACACAAGGCAGCTTGTTGTTTATTCCTTGTGCACTTTTGACTAGAATTTCTAAGGAAGACTGAAGAAAAAATATTATAATTTCTTCTTTAGTCATACAGTGTGTAAGACGGAACTCCTTTCATGTCAATAAGTTCTGACAGCACATGTGGACTGTGAAGTTATGTGACCTGATGATTCATCTTGATATTAAGCGCACTGAAAAATCACTTGACTTCGGCATATATTACGTACTAAATTTAAGTCAATGAAAGCGTTTGCAATATATAAATGCATGACTTTTGATAAAATCTGATAAAACGCTTATTAAGATATCACGTAATTGTACCTTTCTATGACGTAGGTACCAGAAACAACATATAGTTTACGATTACATGTTCTTCAATATGTGTATGAACACATCTGAGGAAGGTTCAAATTTCAAAATTTTGCCAGTTCATGTAAAATGTTGAATACTGCTTAAGCCGATGCTAGAGGGCGTGGACAGTAGTTTGCATTTACCACTATCGTCTATGAATAGGCTTAATTCGACCGAGCCTGAAACAATTTCAATGTTGCCGTGTTGTGTGTGTGTATTTGCGTTTATTTATACTCGCCACCGGTTGCCCATATGGGCGAGTCCTCCAGAAGAGTATTAGTCATTTTATTTTTCGGAGGATAGTGCAATTACAGATACAGAAAGATGCCCCAATTCCAGAAGCTTCTCCTGGTTCTTTAGCGTGCCAAGTGTTTAAGCAACCATACACGGGACCTCGATTTAAAGTCTCATCCGAAAGACTGATTAGTAATTTTAGTTGGCCAGCCCGGGAATCGAACCCACAATGTCGAGATTACATGTCTCGCGCTCTAACCGACTGAGATATGCGGGCTGCCGTGACTTTCCAGTTCATGTTAAATGTTGAATTCTGTTTACGCCGGTGCTAAGGGGCGTGGACGGAAGCTTGCACTTAACAGTACCGGCCAATAATCGGCTCAATAAAACCGATCCTGCAACATTGTCAAGTTTGCCTTGTTGAGCTTTTTTGGGGATTCATATTTTCTCTATTTTCAAGGACTCTGTTTTTCTATATGTTAGCAACTGCAAAAACGAATTTATACAATTTGCTAATTTCAGACAACTATTCTAGTGGAAGTAAATCGCAATATTCAAATGAGATTTATCAGTTTTGCTTCTATATAATAACTAATTGTGTTGATTTCTTAAGGTTTACAGCGTGTGTTTGATAAACCAAAACAGAGAAAGATATTTACATGGATTAACAACTACACAGTAACTTTTAGTGCTTGGTAATAAATTATTATTATAGTACTCGTAACAACATATTTTGCACCAATCAAATTGATGTAAATGTGTATATTCGTTGAACAGCTATATATACCGACAGTCTTTCGTGTAATTTTATAATTTATTTCGCATGAGTGATAGATAATCCACATGTCCCAAGGAAATTTTCTAAATATCCATCGGAATTTGCCTGCAAAGTTCAATTTATAAAAGATAGGAACAATCTTATAATGTTTTAGGCACATTTTTATTTATGCTGAGACATGTTTTCCAATATATATATATATATATATATATATATATATATATATATATATATATATATATATATATATATATATATATATATATATATATATATATATATATATAAACTGTTCGTCAGTCTTCATTATAAAAGTCAATCTTTTAAAATATTTTGTTTATTATATAGTCGCTGCTTTGTCCGTCCGCTCGTCTGTTCGCCCTCTTGTTCGCTTTTCGTGTACATGACATAACTGAAACAACAAGAGATATCAAGATGAAATTTTGTAGGTAGATAGATCTCAATGGGTAAATGTGCAGTGCACGAACACCGTTACTCTGCCTTGCTCTATTTTGAAATTATTGCCCTATGTTCATTTTTACACTCTGAACTTTGTCTAGGACTATATAAGATATCAACATGAAACTTTGTAGGTACATAGATCTCAATGAGATCTCAATGAGTAGATGTGCTGTACACAAGACTGCCAAATTTTGGAGTTATTGATCTTTGTTCCGTTTTATACATTGAACTTTATCCGGGATATAACACAAAAAATATAAGAGATATCATTAGATAAAAGTGCAGGGCACATGAACTAGAACTCCATGTTGCCTTATTTTGCAGTGATAGCCCTTTGTTTATTTTAACTTTGAACTTTGTCCAGGACATAATTCTAAAACTACAAGAGTTATAAACATATAAAGTTGTAGGTACATAGATCTCTTTGGGTAGAAGTACAGTGCGAAAGAACTATAACTATGGCTTGCCAGAGTTTTGAGTTATTGCCCTATGTCCATTTTGACAATTTGAACATTGTCCAGGAGATAGTTCGGAAAGTATGATATATATATGGACAAGACACTTTGTAGGTAGATAGATGTTCTTTGATAGATGTTCAGTGCTCAAGAACCGTAACTCTGCCTTGCCTAATTTTTGAGTCATTGCCTTTTGTTCATATTCACATTTTGAACATAACTCTGACACTATTAGAGATATGAGCAAGAAATTTTGTAGGTAGATAGATATCATTGGGTAAATGAGCAGTGCAAAGAACAATAACTTTGTCTTTCCTAAGTTTGGAATTATTGCACTTTGAACTTTGTCAAATATATAATATAACTCTGAAACTACAAGATGTATACTTTTCTGTGTTCAAAACCTATTTGGGGAGCATCACAAGGTTCAACCGGTTCTTGTTGTTGATAATGCCCATCATGATGTTATTCTTATTCAACTTGTCAATTTCTTTGAAACTTGCCTTTGAATATTGTAGGGAAAGCGGACAACCTTCAACCGGGGAGTGCACACGGACTTCATTCGAGTATTTTAACACCGACGAGCTTTGGGCCACTGAAGATTGTTTTAGTAACATAGTTGACTTTTTCATCTGTGAAAAGCCGTTTCCAGTGGATGGGGAAAACAGAAAGCGTATATTTCAAATATTTGTTTGAATTCGTTAAATATTTAGAGGAATTTAGCATTAGTTTTAGTTTTTATATCTGACTCAATAAATATTTATTAACATTGACATTCGTTACTAAAATTAAGAATAGAATAGCTTGTTATCACTTGTGGTACGACTGTTTATCTAATTATGTTTAATGTTTGCAATTGCCCTTTTAAACCTGGAACTGTCTTAACATACTTCCAAACATATCTGAACTCGCTTGTTCTTGAATTCATTTTTTTGTATTAGTTTGTCTTACTTATGGCAATTCTATACACCATAATTCAATATGTTACAAAACTTTGTCAAGTATCTTATTCAGTCGAGCGAGAGGTAGTACATTTGTAGTTAAACAAATACAATTTTGTTTTTTTATTGCCATTGCACTGATTATTATTTTCATAAGTTCATTTGGTATGCTTTCCAGCTCGCATTAAGCAAGATCAGTGTAAAAGTGTTTATCTAAATGAAGACATTATTGCATCACCTCACTCTGGTAAAACTTGTCAAAATTGGGGAAACCTGTCCGGCAAAGCTGAAAGAGATTTTGACACAAATTCTTACAACCGCAAATATTTAACAAATTCAACTCTTTGTCAGGATCCTTCAAATCAAAACATTTTATGGTGCTATGTTAATGGTACTGGAGAATCTATCCGAGAACCGTGCTATTTGCCTCGTAAGTTATATATACGTATGTTATTTGTTAAACAAGTTGCCGACAGACAGGAGCATAAAGCCTGAGTAAGTTAAATGTTACCAGCAATTTTTGTCGAGAGTTGTAAGATATTTTATGCCACAACGCCCTAATGTCCTGTATATACCGTCAGCAACTAGTACAAGGAAAAATATAAATATAATAACGCCAAAATTGTTATTGACGACAAGTTAATAAGCACACCTAGCATTTTTAGACTGTTTTGAAAGAAGCACAGAGAAACGGTTCATTTAAATAAGATTACGTTATATTCAACAACCACGCAAACGCTGGGCAATGAAACATTATTCTAATCTAAAGTCATCATAGCTTTGTTACTTTCAACTATATTTTTGAAAGAATATCATTTTAAAAATATGACATAAAACAATAGCATTTTTATGTACATACGCAAGTAACCGTATACGATGTAAAAATACATTTTTATTTCTTCAAGGTATATACGGCCTCGTGTAGAAAATGTATAAGCTAGTCAATATTTGAAAAATTTATCTGCGTTATTTTAGTAAATTATATAATATATACATATGACAGGATGGTGACGTAGTATGCACTATGTCTAAATGTTGGTGTTGCGTGTACTTTATTGATTTTAAGCGAATTATTATTCGAATTTTGAATAGGTTAAAGGAGTTGGTGTTGCTAATAACTATTCACAATAAGCAAACAAAAGAAAACCTTTGATCTAGTCTACACAAATTGTTGAACCTCTTTCATTGACTTCCTAAAATTTAATTTTGTTATTTTTGTTGTTAATAAAAATAATTGATGACATTTTACCTTTTTGTACTTTTTGATACAATATCTTTGAATTTGTTTTGGCTGACTTTTGCTGTTTTAATATACTTGGGGTTAGCAAATGTCTATTGTTTATTTAAAATTATCATTTTTTACCTTTTTTTAATAATAATTAGACTATTGTATCTTTGAAGCGGTTAATATTAGTTACATATATAAAAAGGTCAATAAATCTGATGAAGAATTTTCATTATTTTAATATTTGTCTAAATATTATGCCTTAAACATTTATTATTATTGATAAAGCTGACAAGTAGATAATACCAAAATGAAAACTACATAAATGTTATAGATGGCTCTCAAACTAATTTTGTTCGCTTAAAATGTTTCTGTTACCATTTTTTAAGATCATGCACACTTAAAAGTAATTCAGTTCTTTTGAATTTATATATGTTATGACAATATGTAACCCAGGCATAAGTAAAAGTAATGTCTGCAATGAGTTTGAAAAGTTGAAGACACTTACGAATTGTACTTAGGTTTGTCATAATTTAACTGGTCCTGCAGAGATGATGGCGATCAACGGTCCATATGTATTTAATTTGATTATATAGATGAAATTTGATTTTCCTTATATCCTTCATTTGTTTTCCCTAATATCCTTTATTTGGAAGAATTCTTTCATAACCCTGATGAAGACATGTGTAAATAGAATCGTCGGATATCATTATTAAACCTTACAACTTATCCTGTGTTTACGGTATGTTCCACTTGTATCATTTTTCTCAAACATTATTCCAGATAAAGGTTTAACTACTATGCCTGAAAAGAGATTGCCTGATGTAAATTGCTCTGATGGATCTGAAATATCTATGATAAATTGGTGTGATGGGGATTTTGACTGCTCAGACTATTCGGACGAATTGTCATGCCAAAGTGATATTCAACGTTTGTATATGTTTTACATTAATTTAAACAGGGTCCTTTTCGTCATCCGCCAACCTTTTTCATGACGTTATATAAACCAATTAGTTACATTCAATGACTTTTATATAAAACAATTATTTATGAGCCAAACAAAGGTCTACAGTTTTTTTTAAAAAAGTATCACTAAAAAGTTTTAACATCTGGGCATATAACTGTTTTTTATACGTTTACCAATATACTTTATATGCATTTCCCTAATGTAATGATTTTTTGTATTATACATAGTGACATTTATGTATAAAGATGTTTTAGTTTTCGCTTTTTACTTGATATATTTTTATTCAAAAGTTTATATTAAGACAGTGTCAGTTGTAGCAGCAGTTGTCAGTACGTAGTATATATATTTCCCTGCTGAGCACAATTAGGAAACATTTGATTAATCGATGATCATGTAAAAAGATGAAAACACCCATAAAACTTAAAAATATAAAAAACAACACAAGCCAACAAGCACTCCCCCAAAAAGCAAAATATCCTTACATGTTTTTGCCTTTTCCTCGATAGTTACGGTAAAAACTTTACTTACAGAACACAACCTCACGAATATTGTAAACATAATGAAAAAATCTCACCCACCCCAACGAAGCAAACGCGGGCAACATTTCATGTGTGAAAAAAGCAAGGAGTGGATATCCACGTTAGCTTTATGTGATAACGTCATCGATTGTCTTGATGCTTCGGACGAAGTCAATTGTTCACACAGAAAAATAGGTATATTTGTCTTCTAAATTAAACATTTTATCGTTTTCATGTATCAATGTTGGGGTCTGCTTGGGCAGCTGCTAGGGGGCGTGGCCGGTGACTTTCACTTTCCAGTGCCGTCCATCGGTTGACTCGGGCAAGCCGAGACTGAGATATTTTCAATTAAAATATTATTCGTTTCTGAGACATAATGTGCCTTTAAGCAATTTATTCAACAAGCAATTGTATAGTTTGATTTGCCATAACACTGGTCAAAAGCAAAATGTTTTGACTGTATTTTAATACTTGCACTTTTCTCCTTCGTGTAAAATACAGATTGATTTTTATGAAATAAAAAAAGACTCTTTTGAATATTAAGAGAATATTCTTTCGTTTGAGTGAAATATGGTCCATGTATATGATTTCAAGAAATATGATAAAATTCCATTTTTTTCACGAGCCGGATTTACGATGTATATTGAATGTTATAATTTTAAATGAAAATATATATCATATTTCAAGAAAAAAGAAACAATACTTTTATTTTTTACGCAGTTGTATTTTTACATCGAGCAGTAATACGTTGACTATCTCAAGGTGTGTGGTGCAGCTCAAAACAAACTTTATAATAGCCATTATGACGTGTCTTTAGAAAATATAACAAAATTTCTGATAATGAAATGAATAACTGAAAGAGAAAACATCAGAAAAAGTAGTCCCAAAATATAAATATGAGTTTTGAGTCCGCCTCCTTTTATATTTATTCTTATATATGTTTCTTAACAAATATGATATATATTTGACTAACATAGCATCTTAGATGAAGTTCAGTAATTTGATATATTTCATACAATTACTTGTTAGGATGTGATGACAACGGGTTTTTGTGTGATGGGGGAAATTGTATAAAGCTAAATCAAGTATGTGACTTTATATCCGACTGTACGGACGGTACAGACGAACTCTGTGGTAAGCATTGAAATGTAAATAATAAATATAATACATTGAAATAAATTTCATAATTTATTCGTGTTATCCGACCTTTAAACTGTATATTTTTGGCTAACCTGTTGATTTTCCAATTATTTTCACGGTGTAAAGTGAAAGCTAGCATGAACAAATTCAAAGTCCTGCACTGGATTTTAACCAACTTTCCTTACAAGCATGTTATAAGTAAATCAGCTTTGCAACCTGATCGCCGCACTTCCAAACGAAAATGCTCTTCCTTTCATGCATATAATTTCATATAATACATATTTACGGACAATTTCTTGTTCACTGAGAGCTCCAATAACATATCAGTTTGTTTATTTTGAAGAAACAATGTCGAGTTATTATATTCGCCGGCTCGTCATTATCGTCGGTGCCGTGCAAAGTATTTGATGTAGACCATTACACATGCTGTTTCGACAATATTGATACAAAACTTGAGATACTTAACACTTCTTTGCCTTTTATGACACAGTACAATTGTAAGACAAGTGACCTTATTCTTAAAGCGACATTCTTGAGATAAACTATTTCTTACTTGCATTTGTATCGCAATTGCTCCTTAAGTACTATTACAGGTTATTAACATCAAATTTGGAAAATTTGATTATCATGACATTATGAAATATTAAAACAAGGGTTATTACCATGAAAGAAACATTTAAGGCTATGCCCTTTTTAACTTAGACATTTTGTTACAATTGGTTATTGATAGACTATTTGATATTATGATGCTCTTTTTCACTTAGATTAATTAACATGTTTTACAAGTACTAATATCTTGGACATTTACTATAACACAGTTATTCGCCTTGTTTTAGAAATGAAGTGCATAACAGCAACAGCACATTAATACTTTCAAGTTTCATCACCCTTAAAAATGCGAGTATTTGCACACATTCGATGTACTTGTTAGCATTCATAGTGACAAAAATATTTATTTTCAGTGTGTTATTTACATTATTTACATCATGCAAACTATATAAATTATCGTAAATACGCATATAAATTATTTTACTTTTATAAGAAACAAGTTATTATACGCAAATTAAAAACATTGTTTCATACTTTTGCTTACTAATTTATTTCTTTTCAAATATTTATAGATTACCGAAAGTGTGAAGGAAATGAATTTACCTGTACAAATAAACAATGCATTCCAGCAGAGAAAAAATGCAATGCTATAATTGACTGTTTAGATTATAGTGATGAAATGAATTGCGGTTTGTATAAGATTTATTATTACAATTTAACGTCTTTGTAGTAAACAATATTTTATGAAGCAATTCAGGAAAGATCAAACATATAAGATTATAACATAAAAGAATAAAACAAGAACAATGAGCAATAATTTATTGTAAAAGATAACAGCAATAAAAATCAGTATATATATATATATATATAGTATATATATATAGTACTTCAAATATCGAATTATAATAATGAATTATAATTGTTTGAGTAACATTTCTTTTGAAGATTGTGCTTGTATGCGCCAATTTATTAACCTCAAAATTTTAGTCTTTATGGTCTGCAGACATTGTAACAGTAATAAGAAATCGATCATTTTAAATTATATACAATATATAAGCTAATATAATTAGATTCAACTCAAATAAAACATTGCACAAATATTTTTGTCAACAGAAAAGTAATGGTATGTTATTAACGAATTCTTCATAATAAGTGGCTCATTATAGTTTTAATGAGTGTACGTAATAAAATGCATGTAAACCAGTGAGCATTGCTAATTAATCTTGTGCCTCCCCAAATACTGCAACTGTAATCAACATTTTACAGTACTATTCTTTAAAGCGTTCCATATTATCCATTTTACATTACTATTCTTTAAAGCGTTCCATATTATCGGAGACAATCTCTTTAGGCATGCATTCAAACTCGTTAAAACAATGAGTGTTTTTATTTTTTTTATTGCTTTTTTATATGAAAGACATGTTCGATTTATAATTCAAGACTCCTGTAAGAAGTCGTTTCTCTGTGCTGATGAATCCAAATGCATCCCTCGCCGGCTGACATCTGATCGCTACTCAGACTGTAAGGACAGTCGTGATGAAAAGCTTTGCAACGGATTTATTCAATCATGCGTTTACTTCAGTGGTGAATATCTACCGGCAGGAAAAGTCTTTACACGTGAGAAGATTTCTTAAATAAACATATTGAAGTAAAGTGAAATATTTTATAAGTAACAACAAATGGATGGTCATGGCGGATATTATATAATTATTTCACTACACATAAGAAAAGTGGTAAACGATTTACAAAAATAACATTAAATATCAAAATGAAAACAACAGTGAGTAGTTTATCCATATCTTAATTGATTGTTCTGTTTTGTTAAATCAGCATTCATCCAACACTTTGCTTGTTTTCATGAAGTGTTTTAAGGTTTTTTTTACTGCTTTCCGGCCAAAAATATATAACATCGGCCAATACCGAAACAAATTGTTATTTCCGGAACTTATTTTTTTCAAAATCTTTGGTATTAGGTAATTTACAATTACTCATCCTTTATTGCTATGTACTACATTCTGATATAAACGTTAAAAATTATTGAATAACGAACATTGAGAAAAATAATGTTCCGAAAATGGCCGATTTATTACGATATTGGCCGATTAAACAATTTTAGGCGGGAAGGCATTACAGAAAAACTACCTTAAAATGATAATAAAGTAGAATAATATCAAGTGAACAAAAGAAGTAGTTTAATATTGAAATTACAAAAACAAAACAAAAACCACTACCCAAAACAACAAACACGTAAAATTATATGTAAGAAAATGCAAAGGTATCCTTTACTGCGTTATTAATGCAGTAGAACTATTTTCATAAACATTGCAAAACCAATTATTTATTGCATATAACATGCACATTATTTCTTGAATTGTTACTACTTTGCTTTCTTAGCACGTTTTTCTTAACGTTGATTTTTTATTTTGCTCATCTGGAGGCATGCAGCTTTAAAAAAGATCATTTCTGTGAGGGTGGTAAAAATTGTTATCAAGTAATCAAAAGGTTAACTGAATTGAGAAATGGAATTTTGTGTTAACTTGCTTGTAGTAATTTAAAAATATCAAAATCTATTCACCTGTCCCTTTTCATTTGTTTATCTAAAACAGTCACATTATACAATTGTAAATGCATATTCAACCGGTGTCATATTTGTATAATGTAAACTATTAATTCAACAATAACTGTATTTTCAAATGTTAAATGTTTTAAATTGACGTTTATCTAGCGACTGCATTTAACTTGGGCAATCTTTGAAACCAATGTAAATATATATATTCCTAAGGTGGATATTAAGTTAAACGTATACATTGTCTTCAGCTTATACTATTTGGAATTATCAGTTGGAAGGTAACAAATCAGGAAAACATACCTTTTCAAGTCAAAGTAACAGTCTATCCGACCTTGGTTTTTCATATCCGGGTGTACTAACAGAGGACTTTTCCTGTGTTTTAAAGGTAAGATGTCATTCATATCTTAATGTATAAATCATGCACATTTTAACCATGAGCGCTATTTTTATATTAACGTGTATAATAAACGTTTACCGACTGACGGTATAGACTAGATAATCAAACTGTATTGTAAATGTTTTCGGTGTCAACGAGGATGTGTTGATGGTTTGCTAAACTGTAACATAACAGCCAGATAATGCGACAGGTGATATTTCATATATTAAAGGTAATGTCATTCATACCCGCTTCAATAACGGTCTTACTTAAACACAAAACTTCAAATGAATTCGAAGAAGAATAAAAAAAAGCTAAATAAGTTCGATTTCAAAATTGCCCGTGATACATGAATTTGATCTGGCCTGGACGTAATATAATTATGTCTTATGTCCAAGCCCTGGGAAAATCGTTTGGAATCATGTACTGTGTCTAAATAATACTAAAATAAAACGGATGCATTTTTTTTCATTTGTTTTTGCTACAAAAAAATGGATACCGTCTATAGTTGAATTAATATTCCCGTGAGAATATATTCCGGAACAAACTATTGACAAATTGACGGAAAATCTTATTTCGTCATTTTGATATAATTTCTTTATTTCTTCATGGAAATTGAAGGTAAACGGCCCATGTGGCATTGAGAAAAGTATTTTGAAATGAGTATTTTTATGATAATATTTTACGGTGATTTTTTTATTTAGGTACAAACCGATTGCACGTTCAACTTTCGTGAAGCATCCCTAATTGACAATTTCAAAACCGATTTTGCATATCCGTTTTGTGAGTGCACAATAGAAACATTCAAATATGATTTTCTAAGGTATGTTTTACCTTTACATTATAATACATTGATGGTCTGTATTTAAATTTAAGATAAAGTTTTAATATGGTTTAATTATTTTGCTGATGCAGAATGTGTTGAAAGCAGCTTCTTAAGTAAGACACATGTTTAGTGTTGACACAGAACTTAATTAAAGAATAAAAACTATTATTATGAAATACACATTGATTAAACATGTCAACAGTATTGCTTTCATTATCTTATGGTCAATACTCGAAAAAAGTTATAACACAGAATATCTCTGTACTTAGAAAAAATAGAATGTTCCGGAACAAAATGTTTTATTGCTGTTTAAACAGCTTATTAATAATTTAGCTTCATACACATTGGTCCATTTGTTAAAAAAATGTTAACTTTAACAACAAATTAACTTAACAGCTGTTAACTAAAGAAATGCCAAAAATTTGGTTGTTCAGAGCTTTAATAGCATGTTTGTTAGTTAACGAGGCGTTAAAGTGCTTAACGTTTAGTTAACTATTAAAATATCCCATAATTTAGTATGTTCCTTCCTTTACAAAACAACAACAACAACAACAACAACAACAACAACAACAACAAATTGGCCGATATCTCTCCACTGCAGTTAGAAATACTAAAACAAGAGCTGTCCGTAAGACAGCGCGCTCGACTTTTTTATTGCTTGCCAATAAAAAAAGTTTTTGCAGTAAAAGGCAATACAAGAATCTCTGTATTTTTAAAGTGAACAATGGCCATGAGCATTAAGATATTTAGTGAAGAATTATTTTACTGAATTGTGTGATACCCTTGAACACTGCAGCAATGTTTATATGACATAATTTATGGTAAAGTGAACAAGTGGATAGGAATGAATTTTTTTAGATTTTTTAAGTTTTTTAGTGCTTGCCTATAATACAAAACATTGACAGTTAAGGGCCATAATTCAAATAAAATCTTTGACAGAATTACCTTCTCCTGGACATGTTTGGGAATCATGATTGTAAACAAGTATTCCAACTTTCAAATTAATATCTCAAACAGTTCAGTCAAAAAGTGGACTGGTACTAAAAACTTAACCAAGATTCTAAGTCGATAAAAGGCCTTAATTTTTAAAACAAATCCTTGACAGAGTTACCTTCTCTTGCGTACAGATGGGGGTAATGATGTGAAATAGCATTAAAAGTTTCAAAGCAATATCTCAAAGGGTTAAGGCAATAAGTGGATTTTACCCATATTCAATGTATTTTCTAAGTCAAAAAGGGGCATAATTCTGTCAAAAACCTTGACAGAGTTATGTCCTCTTGTCTGTTGATGAAGGTCGTGATGGTAAACAAGTATGGTCAGTTTCAAAGCAATACCTCCAATGGTTTTGAAATAAAGTGAGGTGGTACAAAAAACTTAACCAAGCTCAATACACTTTCTAAGTCAAAAAAGGGCCATAATTCTGTCAAAAACCTTGACAGAGTTATGTACTCTTGTCTGTAGATGGAGGTTATGATGGTGAACAAGTATGGTAAGTTTCAAAGCCATACTTGTAATACTTCTGAAATAAAGTGGGGTGGTACGAAAAACTTAACCAAGGTGTGACGCCAACGCCGACGCCGGGGCGAGTAGGATAGCTCCCCTTTTCATAGAAAAGTCGAGCTAAAAAATCAGCTTATGTACATTGTTTGCAAAATACAAGCGAGTAAACTAATAAAAAAAGAAAACTCATATTGTGTTATAAGTCATTTTTGACTGTTTTATCATGAACTTGGTGTAACCAGTACCCCAGTACCTACATGAAACTATGAATATCTTTACTGAATTTGAAAGTGATTTATTTCATAGTGTTCAGTTTGTACGTGGGCAAACTTATCTTATGTTCTTTTAAAGTAAATTTACCTGCATATTCTTTGTTAAATGCCAGTATACATTATGCTGGTTACTTTGTGATCACTGAGCATTTTACATGTTGACTTCACCTGACTTGATCCTAATCCGTCTTCTGAAGCATTTGACAATATACCATACATTAAATATGCATTGTGGTCTAATAAATATTTGCAAGCCAGCCTGCATATAAAACAGACAGTGCTTGCCATTCATCTTTTTATAATTTTCCAGTGTTTACGCTACAACTTTTCCCCAAGTATATTTTCCTTGCGTTTGCATCTTTATCTCTGTTTATTCCGTAATATTTGTTAAATTTACTTGTGAAATATTAAAACTGTGTGTTAGGAAACATGCGAGCATAGTCTGAATGATTAATTCCATTTTAAACACTTTAAAACACATAAAATTGCTGTTGACAGTACACAATTTCCACATAGAACGCCATGTTTAACTGTTGCATTGTAGCAATTGATGAGTGAGTTAAGGGTGTGACTATCGTATTGATTTTTTCTCCCATATGCTTATGTTATAAGATATGACCCCTAGGTATCGTTTTATTCAGAACTTTACAATAACTTTTAACTTGGCATGTGTGTAACATCAGTACTGGAAGTCACTGTCAAAGACCAGGCTTATAACTGCGTTATCAATTTTGACTGAATAATGACCCTTTAAGGAACAATAACATAGCATTAGGTTCAAAATACACATATTTACTCAGCGATATACCCTCTAAAATTCAGCAATATGAATGCCAGTTTATACAGTTTTTAATTAATTATCGAAATATTTTGATCGAAACAAGCACTATAGTTTTACAATTTTATATGTATCATTACTAACTTGCAAAACAAACAAACCACAAACAATTAAGCGTTACCTCTTACCAAGTGAACTTGTCTCCTTCCCAAATTATAATTCTCAAAAGTGTAGTATGTACAAACATGATCTCAAAATTATCAAATGCTCAATCGTATACACATAATGTATGAATACCTGTTACTGTCATCATTTATATCTATAACAATCCTTATAAAAGTCTCTAAATTTGAAATAAAGCTTGCTTTTAATGCAGTCCGATAAAAAAAGAAAATAGAAGTTATAATTCTTCAAACTCTATATAAGATGTGTTGGTTCAAGGGGAGACACATATTTTTAATTTTGGCCTTATTGAAAATATGAAATGTTGAATATCTCATTACAATAAAAGACTTTATTTGTATCCAGTGTTTACATATCATTAAATCAGATTACCTAATCTACTCAGATGAAAATGATGTCCAAATTTGATGAGACATATTATAGTAAAATAAAAGGAAGTTAAAGACTTTTCAAAATTATTGATCAGTTGTTGTTCTAAATAATTTGGAAATGGTAATCAGTACGATAAGTGCGCTTGTTAGTTGATGAATATTAATCATTACAGATTAGGTAGAATAAGGTAATTGTAACGTTTGTATTTGTTAAAGTGTATGCTTCCAGAAAGTCAATTAAATTAAGACTTTTGGGTTTTAAGATGATCTTGACAGTAATTACATGTAATTAAAAACTTTTATCAATATATTTTTTTACTTCATTGAGGCTTGAAAGAACGTGGGACTTTCTTTAATTTTTAAATTCCTGTGCAAATTGTTTGGAAATACGTTTTATGATTAAGACAGATGTCCCATTTTTGTTAAAATGATAAAAGTGACTGATTGAGAGTTGACAGTGACAGGAACAAGGGAGCAATTAATTTTCTGTTCCACTAACGATAAAACAAATTCACCTCTTGTTAAATCTTTGTTAAAGCTGATGTTTAAACAAAAGATAACATTATAGATTAGGTAGAAAAAGGTTATTTTAACATTTGTTAAAGTGTATACTTCCAGAAAATCAATTAAGTTAAGACTTGGGATTTAAAAAAAGATCTTAATACTAATAATATGTAATTTAAAACTTGTTTATCAATATATATATATTTTACTTCATTGAGGATTGATAGAACTAGAAACTTTCTTAAATTCCTGTGTAAATTATTTAGAAATATGTTTTATGATTAAGAAAGATGTCCCATTTGGGTTAAAATGATGAAAGTGACTGATCGAGAGTTGACATGGGTAGGAGCAAAGCGGCAAGCAATTTTCTGTTCCCTTAACGATAAAATTAATTCACCTTTCGAATTGAATTAATTTTCCTGTTAAATCTTTGTTAAAGCTGATGTTTTAACAAAAAGATAACGCTATTTTTCTGAACAACTGATTTTTGTAACAAAGATATTAAACAAGAAATTAAACAACACTTTGTTAATTTAACAAACTTTAACGTTCACAGTGACAGGATTGCTTAACAACAAAATTTAACGCAGAATTTAACATGTTTTTTTTTAATTTAACAATGATATCCATGTAAAACTATTTAACAAAAGTTTTGAACAACTTGGCCATTATCTTTAAAAATTGCTATTAGGTTTACAAGTGGAATGCGATAAATTCAATTCTCATTCACTTTGTTAATTTTTGTAGGATCTTAGAACTAGTATCACATTAAATATTTTTATATTGATTTTATTTTGACACTTCCTCTTAATGAGCAATTACCATTGATTATGAGAAAAAACTAATTGTTTAAAGTCAGTGGTATAGAAAAAGCATACTAAGACGGAGGAACGACTTGTTCTTATATGCGGCAAGCCGATTGACATTTACAAATTAAATACGTTTGAACGATATACAATAAAAATATTATTGGTCAAACGATGAGCACAAGAGGAAGGTGAGCTATGTAGAGTTATATTAAATAAACCGTTATAAATTCCAGATTGGATTGGCATTTGCTGTCGGTGACGAGGTGCGATGGAAGTGAAATCACGCGATTACACGTTGATGAAGAAAGTATTTATCCTAAAATCACAATAATTATTGATTTAAACTTCGAATCAACAAGTGACTTATTACACCAAACAAAACTACCACCTTATTGCACTTACGGTAAAGAACCTTATTTAGACACATGCGTTATGTTTTAAAACCTATTACTATACCAGTTATTTTCACAATGCAAAGTTCAAGCATTACTCAAAAACCTCGCATTGTTTGAAATAATAACATAACTAATTGTAAAAAAAACAACAGTGCATTATTTATCAAAACCATTATTATGATGTAGTGGAAAATGGTATGGTAGATTTGTTACAAAAAGCCCTGGAACAATTAAAAGATTTAGAGTCAGCATGTCTATTTTGAGATACCTTTCCATTTGAGAGGTGATGGTTAGGGGCTGCTTGTATATAGTAATTGAAATGTCATTTAAAGGTACCTAAACGTCGTGTCCTTTTGCATCTGTAGTCCTTCACTATAATTCATTAATGAAATCTGCTCAGCATTCAAATGATACACTTGCTTAACTACGACAAAACATGTATACACACAAGGCTGTGTGTGTTATCAAGAGATTAATGAAAGGACATTTCAACATATAGTAAAGAAGTAATATTCTTCGAAGATATAAGTATCTAGTTTTGTTTTTAATTGTAGGTCTTTATTATCTTGATGATATTTTCTATGTTTGTGTTCCATATAATGTTAAGACTGTTTCGATTTTCTCTTTACTGTCCGGTCCGACTTGCTTCTGCCATTTTCTGCAGACATGTTCACTGACGTGCGCTTTCGAAATAAATGAGCATCACGAGGAGATAAATATTGTGTACAGTAAAAACATTATTATAAATCCAAATTGATAAATTCAATAACAAACGTATAATTTCTTAATGTAAACTGGTATTATCAACAATAGTACATGAAATAGCAAAATGTGTTTATACAAGTAAATGAAAATGATCAACTAAGAGAACGTAAACATAATGTGAGATAGTATACATTTTAGTAACATATTTATACATGTAGTAATATTGTATATTCAACTTGGTGATATGTAAAATGTATTTTTCTTTATTTCTTTTTACTAGACCTGTTTTTTGAATATCTCAAGGACTTGAGTTACAATATCGCTGTTCTATTCTTTGTCGATGTGACGTAAAACACAAACCAATAACAAATCCAACAAACGCTATTGCTGTTCATTTTTGTGATGTTTCGTTGTTTTTATTGCTTACAAAAGTATTTGTATCTATCTTGTCCTTAAGAGTACAATGTGACCGAAATTGGGGACTTCATCTTCTTTTGTGAAAGAGATGACAAGGTCATACCAAGGGCAATGATGTGTATTTATGCCATAGATGCCAGCGGTTACATGACTGGATGCCGATCTGGCGACCATTTACAAAGTTGCGGTAACGAAATGTTTTATCTAGATTATGAAAACACAACATGTTCTGTTCTGTTTGAAACCTAAACTTTTTTTTATAGTAGCTTTGTCTTTATTGCATACTATTTTAATCTTTTTGTTAGGGCATTAAACTGCTTACATAATTATGCCAGTAGTAACTGATGTCGCCCTTGTATCTGAGGGGTTGCGTTTACGGGTTTAGGCATCAGATTTGCAGCCACCGTTTAACCCTGCGTAATAGCGAAAGGCGATTAAATGGAATGTAATGACTTGAGTCTATTCATCTATTAGCTCTAGCAGTTGAGGTGGTTTTGATCCCTTGTGTTGCTTTAAGCTTGCAACACCCGAATTAAGCCAAAATCAACTTTCCTGTTTCGGCGACATATGACCTAAATTGTGTTGATGCGCCAAAAAGCCAAACGAAACAATCAAGTGTGATTAGAGTTATACCCAAGTTGGATTGCTGGTCCCCAGTCGGTCATTCATTCTAAATTTACTAGTTGCTCTGATAGGTAGTCATGCATTAATTTATTTATTTTTGCTTTCTGTGTAAAAGGGCAATTGGTGATGACCGCTGACACGATGGCGGCAATGGAGTAGTGTGTAAGAAGAGTGTTCTATAGGTTGTAATTGGTTCACTCAATAATTACCCGAAACCAACTACCATATAAAACAAGAACGTGTTTGTTAAACACAAATGCCCCCGGCTCAGATTCTTGTCAGTAGCATTGCTTCATAAATGTTTACCCATTCACTCAGTGATGGACAGAATAATCACCAAAAAATTGTAAACACAAGTTTTATAGCTTGACAAAGTCATGGCATTTTGTAATTGTGAAAAATATAAGTTGCCAAGTCATTGCTCTGACTTGTGAAGTTGAAAAATATTCAACTTCATGGAAGTTATCTTCCTACTAAATACGAAATACATCTGTCATTAAATAAAGGCTGTATCGGCAAAAGTGTAAAAATCTATTTTGAGCACTGGTGACCTTGACCAAACTGACCCCTAACTCAATCCTAAAGAAGAATACCATGTAAGTTATCTTCCTACCAAATATGAAATACATCTGTCAATAAATAAAGGCTGTATGGGCAAAAGTGTAAAAATCTATTTTAAGCACTTGTGACCTTGATCCAACTGACCCCTTACTCCATCCAAAGAAAGAATACCATGCAAGTTATCTTCCTACCACATATGAAATACAACTGTCAATAAATAAAAGCTGTATGGGCAAAAGTGTAAAAATCTATTTTTAGCACAAGTGACCTTGACCCACTGATCCCTACCCCAATCAAAAGGATGAATATCATGCAAGTTATCTTCCTACCAAATATAAAATATATCTATCACTTAATAAAGGCTGTATGAGCAAATGTATAAAAATCTATTTTTAGCACTGGTGACCTTGACCCAACTGACCACTAACTCCATCAAAGTTTATGTTTTTATCAATTATAAATAACATCTGTCTATAGAATAAGGTCAATACACCTGTAAAAATGTAAAAATCTATTTTTAACATTGGTGACCTTGACATTGGTAACATTGACCTTGACCCAAATGACCCCATACTACACCCAAAGAAGGAGGTGTTTGTATTAAACTAAGACATCAACTAAAAATTAAAGGCTGTATGAGCAAAAAGGTTTATATTTATTTTTTAAACCAGTGACACTGACCCTAGAGACCGCTTTCTCTAAAAAAAATTACAGGACCATCAAAGGTATCCACCTACTAAATATGAAAGATATCAGTAAAGAAATTAAGCAATTAGGAGAAATTTAAGATAAATCAAACTTGCCGAAATAGGTTAACCAGACAAGGCCCTATTTTCAAAGTGAAAAAAAAGGAAATAACTGGGAAATATGGATGACACAGTTATATAACTTGGCAATATCATGTACTTTGTATTGATAAGTAAGTGTGGAAATTATAAAGCCATTAGTATAGATAGAACTTAAGATATTTCCAACTTGCCGTTTTAGGTTAACCATTATTCATTTTCTAAGTGCTGAAAAGGGCAATAACTTGGTAAATATGAAAGCCAGAGTTATGAAACTTGCCCAGATTGTGTACTTTGTATTGATTAGTAAGTGTGTAAACTTAAAAGCCATTGGTACAGGTAGAACTTAAGAAAAATCCAACTTGCCGTTCTAGGTTAATCTCGTACGGACAGACGGACAAACGGACGGACGGACGGTTCAATCACTATATGCCCCCGGGCATAAAAAGAAAAAAGAGGTTTATCTTTTGGCAGTATCTAATAAGTCACTGAATATATTTTTTGTACTAAAAATACGGCAAATTGCACTTCTGTCAATTCTGAGCAAACCAAAGATTATGTTAATGACTCACCCCAATTAAACTTAAACAGGGCGCGAACAATAATTTATAGCCACCTCAGTCCTGATTATCTACTACATTTTAATCTTTTAATTATACATGTGATTTTCAGAAAATTTCAGTTGTCCTGTAAATACAGTTAAATGCCCAGGAAGTTATTGTATTGAACAACGATTTTTGTGTGATGGACACATTGACTGTCCTAGAGGAGAGGATGAACAAGATTGTAGTAAGTGTTTAAGATATATACTTTTGTTTTCATTTGTGATGTTTGTTTAAAACCACTTTTACTATTATTCAGTCGTGTACGATTATTTTGATAAACGGTGTTTTATTCATTGAGCGTTCAGGAATAGTTGTTACACGGCAAATGTGTTATTTCTAAACTAATAATCTAGTACAAAAATACTTTTATCAGTACTGTTTGGCAATATATACCTGAAACTCTGGAAATTTTTGTTAGTTTCCGTACTTTGTTTTGATAAACGGTGAGGACCTTTTATAAAACTATAGATTTGATACATTAATAACTTAACACTGCTCAATGACCTAGTAGTAAAAAACGACGGAATTGTGACCATGTAGTTTTTGCATTATTATTCGGACCTTAGACAAACCATTTTTTTGATTTTCATAAACTGCTTTTTATTGCTATTGATAACATAATATATTTGTTGATTAAATATGTGTGCTTAATTTGCATGTTTTGTTTTGATTTCATCATTTTTATAAACACGTTTGTTTTAAAACGCATAAAAATTTATTTGATTCGAACTTAATCTGACCTTGTCACCAAGGAAGAAAGTCATTAGTTATGCAGGTAATTTTAAGTTATACATATATACGGCTGTACTATACATCAAAACTCTTATGGTTTACTTTGAAATCCAATAATTGCCGACAAAAGGTCATTTAATATTAAATGGCTCAGGATAATATTGCCAAACAATATTTAAGTTATTTACTTTGGTATCAATTGAACAGAGTTGAAGTTTGAAAAGCAACAAAAGTCTGAAAGATGATTGCATTTTAGTTATACAGTTGACTGGTTTCTAAACAATAACATATATTGTAAATCTTTTTTGTAAAACGTATGTTAAATCAATAAAGTTTTAAAAATGTAAACTATAAAGTAAATAACAATTCCATTTATTTTGCTGAATAATGTTTGCATTTTATTATTTGAAGTACAAACATGTGAAATAGAAATAATTGTTTAAAAACGTATCATTATAATATGTAAATATACACAATATGTTTTTTGTTTGACAGTGGGATTTATTCAAACTATGATGACTATATAAAAGTACTGATACTGATACTTAATTACTTCCTAAAAAAGTACTGGTACTGCAGTATCGAGCTAAAATCTAGTACTGGTACTGCATAACTTGGCAAGTACTGGTACTTAAGTACTACACCCTAAGCACTGATGCAGCTCTGATCACTTGCGGGCAATATTTTTAATTATTGGTGAGCTCAGACATTGATAAGACAATTAATATGGGGATCGACTGCAGAGAAATGATCACAAATTTAAAAAATCTCGACATAAGAAACTAGAAAAAATAACAATGATAAAAACATAGATACACATGACAATGTGGATTTGTTAAGAAAGAAACTTTTCAAACCTATATAAAACTAACAATTATTGTATTGAACTAAATAGAAAAAGCAGTATACCAACGGCGAAACACAATTATATCCTGAAAGTAATTGCTACACATGTTTTTGTTGTGATTCTTATTGTATTGAATTATTATAACATTGTCTGTTTGCAATTTTATCCTTTCATATGCCATATTATAAAACATAATAAAAGTTCACTCTATTATGTTTAGTTCTAA